TATAACTTTATATGGGAGGAGGTCTGGGTTCAAATCCAGGTGGTTTAGATCAAACTTTAGCAAGTGATATTTTATATAATCCTATAGATTTGGGAAACAATTTATCCCACTGATTCAAATTTTCATACATCTGTAGGTACCAAATATCAAAAATCATCAAAACTTTAATGATTCATTTCATTTATACTGATGTATATTTAGTTGTTCATCTTATTCACTACATATCACCATTAAACGATAAAGGTTGAAATGAGTAAAGAACCTGTGATAGATACTAAACAAATAACTTTTTATTAAAGATGAGAATAATTTAATTTTAAAGCTAACAAAATGAATAATTGCAATTTACAGTCAGGAGAGCTGTTTAAAATGGTTCTGTTTGGTATGTGGACCACAATTGTATCCTATATATATATATATACATATATACACTTATAAATGTATCGGTACACAGATATTATGTAATGCACAAATGCATATGTTAGTTATGTGTATGGATCCATAAAACAAGCAGAAAAGCATGATGGGTATTGATTCCAGTTTGAGTGTCTGTCCATTGGGATTGATAAATTTTTGATAAGATTGGGAGCAATATGTTTTTGCCAGCTTACACATGTCAATTTTCACACAATGACCCCATCACGCTTTCTATTCAATGTCCTCGAATCTTGTAGCCAATTGAAAAATCGTTACTCACTTTACAACCAATTACTATATATGGGGTATAGTCGGATTTAATCTCTGGGTTTACTAACTTAACTAAGATGTGTTGATTGGTTCATCCGCTATCACCCGTAAATGCAGCGTTTATGGTTGGTAGCGGTTAGTGGCATTTTATCATAATTTTTAAAATTGTTGTAAACTGTTCTGTATCATTTTATACCGTTGAAATTTAAAAGCTACTTCCCGCCAGTATTTGTGATTGCGGACGGTAACAATTAAATAAAAACAAATTAAATAAAATAAAATAAAGCTAGAAAAGAAAATAAAAGATCACATTAAATACAATTATAAAACCCTAATCCTATTAATTTTCTCATATATATATAAACCCTAATCTCTCACTTTTTCTATCAAGTTCTAATCTCTAATCATGGTTTTCATATCAGTTGAAAAAAATTAAGATACAAATATAAGTGTCATAATACTTTGGTTTAATTCATTTATATTAATGGTTCTGTTTCTACTTTTAAAGTAAGAAATTATAAATATGTATCTTATTAATTATAAAATTAGTTTGTTATAATTCTTTTTTTTTGTTCTTCAGAAAGTTACATGAACAAATGAGATGACATATGCGTTACTTCAACGGATCATTGTGAAAAAAACAAACTCAAGACAAATATCCTAGATTTTTTAGTGCACTCTAGAAAGAACGTATTTTGAAGAATACTAATGAGCAATTTGGAGTTGATTTGAGTTAGGGTCGTGCAAAAATCAATTTGATCAATTGAAAAAATTTTACATCATGCATAAGACAAATCCAGAAGATCTACATATTGGAGCAAATTTTTTCCAGTCTATTACATTACTAGACACAATTTTGGGTGATATTCAAAATAATTGAAATAAAATATATTATTATTAAATTTATTAGTTTTTAAAATAATTATTTAGTATTTATTTATAATTTTTATGAATTATTTTGAACTAGTGATTTTGATATTAATCATAATAATATAGCTTTTCTGTTATATATGATATTTATTTTAGTAATTTTATGTTTAGCCGCTAAAACAACCGCTGGTTTGCCAGTCAAAAATGTTCTACAAACGGACCTGTCTTAAAAAATTTAACCAGTCGTACAAACCGCTAAATAACGCTCAAAACCACAATCGTTTGCTTCCGCAAACTCCCGCACTCGCAACCGCAACCACTGCGTTTAAACCAATCAAATCCTAATATGATTTGTATTGACTAAATTAATGAGATTTGACCCAAAAAAATATCTCACGGATTTGAGAATATGTAGGGGAATCCCTTCTTTTTCCACCTCATATATTGTATACTATAGCAAAAATTCTTGTTATCCGATTATACATACATCAATAAAATTTTGAATTTTTTTTTTCAAATCTTATATTATTAATTGACAAAAACATTTAAATAAATTTTGTTGGTCTTATATGTAACATTTACATGAGTGCTGAGGTATCAATCTCAAAAAGATTCTCATATTTTGTTTGAAATTATGTTCAACTTACTAAATTAACTAATATTCGGTAATTTACATACTCTTGCCTTATTTATATTAATTAATTTAGATGTTTAAAATAAACATATGCTATGTTACACATTGGATTTTGAAAAATGAAAGTTCATAATATCGCAGCTAGCAAATGTTTACCAAGAATAGTATATCCAAAATATATTATATGGTTCATGATTTTTTTTTTTTGATAAATAATAATCCTGATTTCAGAGTCAACCATGATTATATTACCAAAAAATTATTATTCTTTTTTTTTTGTTTAATCCTACTGTGTGGTATATCTATTTTATCACTAAAATAATATAACGACTTACAACATAATTACTGGTTATGTTTTTTTTATGATATTATGTATTTGTTTTTTTACAATAAACCAAACGTATGTTATTATTTAATTAATTTAGATGACATGTGAATATAATATAACTATATGATTTAATAATTTATAGAGAATAAAAAAAATTGGAATATTATATATGTCACACATTGATTTAATAAACCGTTATCACAATTATTATATAATTTACACTAAAATTTTTTTTTTTAATATTATGATTTAAACAACAAATCTTCTAAAAAAATTTCGATAAATCTCACCTTACACAGAGTGCAGGTTATTATATAGTTATATAATATTTTATATGTTTGCTTGTTTATATTTCAAAAATTCCTCGTACTAAAGCTTCTTACCAATAAATTAGATTAATATTATGGGATCGAATCTTGCATCCAAAGTTATCCAAAGCAGCTAAGACAATTTCAACCTCCTCAAACCAGTCATTGCCATCTCTGATAAGACATCTAAAAATATGCAGATCAATATTTCCCTTTTTTGCTTTCATTGAACTCACTAATCAGTTATTTCAAAAATTCTAAGACAACAATAAAAATGAAAAAAACGAAAGAGATTTTGTATGATCAGCTGTAATACTTGCAGCAGTAGTTGGTCTTGAACCCTCATCCCATCTTGGTTTGAGCCAGTTCTTCTTTTTTTTTTCTATCAAATTGAAAAATCACAAAGAAGAAAGCAACAAAAACAACTACATATAGAGCCCATATTGCAAGTGTATCACTGGAATAATGCACTAAAACTAGAAGGATCACAATCATTATACCGTACACAGCTCAAAAAAAATCTTTCGTGTCTATAAACATTTATCAAAGAAAAAAAGAACAAGTTAAATATACCATTAGATGGTATTTTCCAGTAAAAACAGGCCAGTAACGAATGTATTTCATCTTTCGTGTCTTGGAAATTTCTACAAAGTTTGCTAATCATTGAAACAACGATTCGTTGAAACAAACACACACTACAATGACAATGCTCTTGATAATTGTCAAAGTTGTTTGAAGCAAACAAAGTAAAACACCAAAAACTGTTAGAAGTAGAAAATCTTATTCAAACAAAAAAACTCATAGAAAGTTTGTTAATCTTTCAAACAGGATGTTTAAAAATAAGATTGCACAAAATTTGTGCAGCTTTTAATTTGTTTTTCTTGCTTGTAGCACCTTTCGATCTAACTCTGATGATTGATAAAGTATTTTGTTGACTTAGTGGTTAATGCAAATAAATAATGAGATAGTAATTGATCAGTCAATCATCTAAACTACATCAACTAACAATCAACACTTAAAAAGTTTTATAAATCAATTGTAAATATCTAATATATTTATTTTATATAATAACTATAATTGTTAATTACCAAAATAAATGATCAACTTAAATCAGTTTAACAATTAAATAACCCTTTGAGTTAAAATTTTATTCAATCAAGTCTAAGACTTGTATCACTATATATAAGGACAAACAACTATGGCTGGCTTTCAAATTCCTTGACTGACACAGCCACGATGCCAGAATTGAATTAGCTTCTGAGATAGAGAGATCAGATGCTCTTCTTCTATGTGCAATTTCAATTGAATATTTTGAAAAAGATCTTCCTTACATTCCAAACACAGGGCGTTACTTGCCTCACTCTTGATGTTGTTGAAATTAATTGGTAAGGTGTTTTTCAGAATTCTTCTTTTCAGTTTACATAAATTTTGTGTATTTATTCAATATGAATTGATTGACTTTGTATGTGTTTAGGGATCATTACTACGATTAATTGGTTGATTATTAATTAATCAAGATTTGTTTCTCTTAAGCCAAGTTTGGTATATTCTATATTTTTCTAATTTTCTTTTAGTCATAAATATATATAGCCTCAAAAAAAACCAAAAAAAGGAAATGTTGATAAAAAAAAAAACTTAAACAGAACCTGAAAATTCCTGATACACGTCGTGAAAATTTCCAATGGATAGAAGTAGAAATGCAATATCCTTTTTTCAACTACTAAGTTTGACACAATAAAAAAAGAACAACAGAAGTCTTTGTTACCTTTCATTTTCATTTGCTTCTTTGTTCTAGATTGTTTGTATCACATATTTGTCAATCTCACCAGATTTTGTTTGATTCTCGTTGAATCTCTACTAGTCAATTCATTACTATAATCTTGTCTGGATTCAGAATCTTCATGTAAGTACTAGTCCAATAGAACAATCTCAAAACATAATATCGTGTACTTGTTTCTCTTAATCTAATTAAGTTTGCGATATGACATTTTCGTTTGGTTAAGAAAAAAAAAACTAAAAGTACGATAAAGATTCAACAAACAAAACCTGAAAATTCCTGATGCACAATCATGAATATATCTAATGGAACCATAGAACAAATCTACTAAGTTTGGATCGAGAGTAATCAAAAGAAGAAACAAATCATCCTCCCAAACTACGAATCAGAAAACACTCAACGAGAAGCAATCATGGAGATCAAACACACAAGAAGAATGATCACACCCAAAACCGAAACCCAAACAACCAATTTGTTCCTCTTCTTCTTCATCTGATTAGCATAGAACAAACTGTTGGTCCCTCCACTCACAAAGCTCCCTGCATTAGCCACATTAGCTTCAATGTCATCAATCCGATCTCCTTGAGTCTCAACAAGAACAGCCATGTCGAGAAACACTTGATGAAGCCTATTAAGACTCCTCTTAATGTCATTCACCGCTTCATGTCTCTCTTTCGTCTTCAAATCCATCTCTGGTTTCACTTCAAACGTCTTCACAAACCCAGATTCTCCAGACCCTCCAGAGATCATCTTCTCCATGTCTTCGTTACTCGGTTCTTCACCAGTCGCTAAAAAGTACTTCCTTTTAAGATCTTCTCTGTAACCAGCGTAGATTCTCTCCCTCAATCGGTGAAACTCGCTCATCGTCTCTCTCAGTTTCGCTCTAACACCGTTGGTTAACGAGACCCGTGTCCTGTCCACGCAAGATCCTTCCTTGAAACTCGTCCGATTCGTGACGTTCCTCTTGTCGAGAGACTCGATTAGGGTTTTGACTGTGTTGGCCTTTCGAGAGATTGCGACGATGTTCGATTCCATCCTGTCTCTAAGCCCGCGAAGGATCTTGGTGCTGTGTGTGGATTTGGTCTCTTCGTTTAGGTTCTGGAGATCGAGTAAGAGATGAGTGATCTCTTCGATTAGGGTTCTGATGGATTCGATCTCTTGGAAGAAACCAGAGAGGTTTTCTTCATCCGCTGGGCTGAAATTGAATTCGCCTTTCTCAACGTCGTACTCCGATTCCATATCGTTCTTCGCTTGTTTCTTCAATTCGACATAACTTAAGAACGATTTCGTCATCAGATCATTCATCTTTTTGCAGATAAGAGAGTGAAACCCTAGAAACAAGAATTTGGGGGAAGAAGAAAGAAACTGAGAATCGTTTACAGAAACAGAGTAATTGAAGAATCGAACATAGAAGAGAGATGAATTTACAGTGTAAGGTTTTGTGAAATCAGAGTAAGGATCTTCGTTTCTGTTCTCCGGGAAAAAGAACTGCAAAAGAGAGAAAAAATCGACTTCAACAATGAAACTAAAGAAACCCTAAGATTACGAGAAAGAAGAAGATGCAATTATTACCCAGCGAAAATGCTTGCTTCACAAGGAACGACTCTTCTCGAGTTCGCTTCTTTCACTCTCTCTCCTCTTTTCTCGTTCTTACTCTTTCTCTGCGATTTCTCTGTGATCAGTAAAGAGAATGATTCGAATTTTGAAAGAGATGAAAGAGAATGGGGAAGTTATAAAGAAGATCTACAAGAATCCGATTATTCAGTTTCACAGATAAATTTCAAAAACTCATTTTAATCACAAATATAGCCGTTGCTTTGAAAACGCTTCTGTTCCGATTAGGCCTCTACAAGTTAATTCCTTTCTCCAAAAACGCCATCGTTTTATGACATACAACACTAGAACGACACCGTTTACGCTAAAGGAGTGCAAAGAGTCAACCTTTATTGATTGTTTCAGCCAACAATATACAGCATTAATGGCGAGGCAAAGACTGGTTCTGATGATTACAAACAAATATGATATTACAAATGACTTGTTCCCGAGTTCATGATGCTTCTTCTTTTGCGGGTTGTTTTTGTTTCTCGGCTTTCTCGGCTTCCAATTTCCTCAGAGTACTCGAACTTATCTTGTTTCCACTTGATCCATCTGAAACTATCTCCACAACCTCGACCTGCACAAGTATGTCCAAGAAAGATTGGTCAAAGAAAGGATTTAGGTTTGATGCTCGAAGCTTAAAATGCGCAGCAGAAGGTCAACCAGATAAGGCTGGAGGATAAAAAGACGAACCTTAAGTTGAGAAAGCCCTCTTTCTGCTCTTTTTCTGTTAACTGACAAGCCACCGGGTAACGTCTCTTTGCTACAGATTATGAGTAGTTAAAGCTCTCTTGAAGCACGGATGTGAATAGAAAGCAAGGAACATGTGAAAAGAGATTTAATGAGATGTAAAGTGAGACCTGACAACAATAGCTTCCAAAGTTTCATCGACAATTGAAGGACCATATGGATCAGTAATGGGTTCGGCGTGTACAACCAGCTCGGGCTTAATAGACTACATAAGAACACGAAGAAAAGTCAATAAGAAAAACTCTACGTCATCTTTTGTTACTCATTTCACGTTAATTAGTTCACATGTCATGGCAGTAAGAAGACTGTGTGAGTACATAAAAAAAAACTGATGAGAAATTCCACTTTCTGCTGTAATTACCTTGACATAGGTCTCCACATTACGCATCCTTTCTTCAATGGGTTGTATCATTTCAGAGAACTATAACACAAAAAGAGTGAAATGAGGAGAAATAAGACCTCAACAAAGCGTGTAACAGTTTCAGCTTTAAATCACAGAAAAATCCAGTACAAATACGATCAGAGAGTATTCTTTTGCCTTGAGATCAGAAGGATATCATTGCAAGTTTGCAACTCATGATAAGAACTCCCACTGAACTAAGTAGACTTCAATCTCACATAAGTTGTGAAATTGAACAAAATTTGTCAGATTTCTCGTTCTGGAGTTATTTGCTAAATCAAACTCTTTAATGCTTCAAATAAAAACGTAAAAAGTTGACATAGCTCATCAGCAAAGCATAAAAGTTTCAGCTTTGAATCACAAAAAAAAAAAAAAAAAAAATCAGTACAGGGTCAAGTATTGAACTCGAAGTTATTAAATTGAACAGAGTTTGCCAAAATTGGAATGATTTGGTAAATCAAATACTAAACTGGTCTAGGCAAAAAGGAGAAATCGAGAAGAGATTTGAGGGCGTGATTGCTTACTTGCTTGTTCGTCAACATTGGGCCATCACATACTCCAACCACTAATCGGTCCCTGGCCAGCTCCGCCGCCGCCTGAATTTTCCATCCCACCACATAAAAAAAAAATCGATAATTACTCAAAAATGGTAAAACCCGAAACATAAACAGAGAAAAACCGATTTACCTTGAGGAAAGTTCGATGCCCATCGTGCAATCGATCAAACGTACCGCCGAGAACGACAGCACCGAACGAATTCGCCGGAGAAATTTCTGAATCTCTCGCAGCTGCCATTTCCGAATATCAGGGAACGAATCTACCAATTTATGAAATTGTCACAAATCTACGTTTACTTCACCTACACAGGTCAATGATTCATGTCAGAAGTGTGAATAAAGAACCTTGGTTAATTCAACAATGAGAAATGATAAACCGGCCGGTTCAACTTTACATCAGTGATTTTTCCAGCGTTAATCTGGTTTGCTCGGTTCTCGGTTTATTATTGGGCAAAATCTTAACCCATTGAACCGAAAAAAATTTGGTTCCAAGTCGGTTTGTTCGGTTCGGTTTTAAGTATAATTGTACCATACATTCTTTAGGAGTAGATTAGAAACAGTCCGACAGTCTGGGTCTGGGTAATAAGAATCATTAACTATTTTGGACCCAAAAAAACAATAAACCCGATACAAAGATTCTGCTAAAAAAGATGTATATATGTTCCAAGTCATAGAGCTTTTTGCTGTTTTGTTGGAGTGAAGCACTCTTGCAAGAAGTTGTGAAGCTGTGAGGAGTACAAGTCACGAAAATTCCGGTAGTGATCGACATGAGGAGACGACTTGAAATTGAAAGAATGTATGCTTCTTCCCATCTTCTGTTGTTCTTTGATCCGTTGCTCTACGGAATGAGACGGAACAACTTTGTCCCCAGAGCTGTAAAGATAGAGCTGAGGACATGGAGGATGGTTCTCATAGAGTTTCTTGATGATTTTCTTTAGCCTCCTGCAAGATAAACAAAAATAACCTCAGATGAATCAAACGAAAAGCGCAGATGGATGTCTACTGTTTAGAGTGAAGCTTACATGTTGACATCTGGGAGGTTTAAGACGATGGGGAAGAGTTTCTCTAGTGATGATAGCATCATGTTTTCGAGTCCTAGAGGTTCCTTCTTTTGTGGGTTTGAAGCATCGTCTTCGTTTATGGGACTGATTGGTTCTGTGTTTATGGTGGAGCTACGCTTTTTCAATATGGCAGCGGTAAACCCAGCTGCCCAAATCTGCATGAGAATATTGACCAGAAGTTATACTCATTGATAATCAAATGCCAGTTAATTGATTAAGATGTGTTAAAGAACTATGCGACGATTTTGTACACAGAAACAAGTTTCAACATAAGTGAATCTAGAGCCATGAGATGATCATATTGAACATTAGGATCATATCTTCCTTCACATGCCTAAAACATCAAATCTCGCAAGTGAACTAGATCGCCTTTGCAAAATATTTAGACCAATGTACCATTACCCTGTGAATAATGGCTAAATAACGAAAAGATATCAGCGTTTTAACTCATGGCTACAGTCTTTTCAAGTTACTAAGTTATCTATTTACAGAGCTTATTGCTTAATTATCAAAGCCAAAACTCCCCTGGTCATAGTTCGGTATATGCATGTATCAATCTAGAATGCTTCAACATAGAATTCAATTAGTAAAGCTTTCACAATCGCGTGAATCATAATCCAAAAAACGATAGCTCAAAAAAAATATATATATCACTCTCTGGAAAGCAAAGAAACCTAGAAACCTAGAAACAATATTGGCCTTTTCTACTTCAATTTCCTTACTTGGGATATCTTCTACTTCCAAAGTTCCAATATAAGACAATGAAGCCATGGAGAAAACTTGACAAGCACATGCTTAAGAGTCTTGGTTCCATGAAAGAACAAACCTTGGTATCTAGAGGATCTGCTCCTCCCGAATCGATGATACAAGCCTTAATCTTTTCTATTAACTCTTGTCTGCCCACAAAGCTCTCGAGCAAAGCACCATAGCTGCCAAAACGAAATCACTAATGAGCTTAAAATTCCAAATCAACACTAACTTCTTCATCAGCACTTATTAGGAGATCAGAATCACAGTGAAGTGTAGCGAAGAGAGTATTATAGTACTATATTGATGAAGGAATTTGCTTTCATCAACCTACACAAGCCAACCAGTGTTACTGAAACTGTGGAACACCAAACATTTTTCTCTACCATCGTCTTCTTTCTCCGATACCCAATTGACCAATTCGTTCCCAAACTCAGCAATCCGTCGTTCAAGCCGCCGGCCAAGATCTAACCGGAGCAAATCCCTAACGTCAACGGTGAAAGTAACGGCGTTAATTCCTCTGGAATTGTACCACTCCACGTATCTCCTTAGGTGTTTTGCTTTCGCTCCTAACCAACCCAGGAGAACCACCGTCGTCTCTTTCCCGTTCCCGCCGAACGTCGTCGCGTTTCCTACTCCGTTCACGCTCCGTGGAGCTCTGTTCCAGACGGCGACGCCGTCGTTAGGTTCGGATCGGAATGGGTTGGCGTGAACGGCGGAGTTCTCGAGACGGAAATGTGACGTTAGCGAGAAGAGGGATTTGAAGGGCTTCGCATTCGGGGGGCGGGAAGAGCACCGTATACGAGCGGCGGAGATAGAGGATTCCCGGGAAACGGCACTGTGAAAGGGAGAACAGAGCTGATTTGTGTATTTGATCGAACGGGTTTCTAGATTTACATTTATCTTGGTGAGAAGGAGACGACGATTGAGAGCAGAAGTACTGAAAATTCTTGCTGTTGCTTCCATGGCCGATTTCGAACGATTCGGAAAATGAGATTAGACAAAGGAAAAAAAAAAAGATTTCTCTCGCAAAATTTCGTGGACTAGCTACTGAAACGGAAAGCTCACGACTCCATGAATAAAAATATCTGAAAAAAGGGAAATGGAGATACTCTGCCTAGCCCAGCGGGTTCGTTTTATCTGGTCAGATATTTTTTTTTTTTCAGAAGAAATAAGTGAGGTTGAGCTTCAATGCCAAAACGGTGTAAGCATTTGGAAATGACAAAGTTTACTATGTGGTTCAACGAGAAAGCATCCATAAGAAAATGAATTTGGTGTATTAGGAGCTGCTGTCTCAATCTCTTTCTCTCCAAGACTTCGAATTGTTCTCTAATTTGGCTTAAACCAGCTTCTTTTCATCGCATAATTGGACAAAAGGCTACACAATGTTCCCGAGTTGATCAAGATTTAACCTGCTTGGATTCAGATGGGAGTGATAAAGCACTTATAGAGTATAATGTTGGACAGGACAGAACAAGTTCTTGCACATACGAAACTCTTCTGTAAAATTTGCAGGCCAAAGAAACTGTCAAATGTATGTTTACTTCCTCTCACTAAACTCTGAAATATTGATCCTTCTCTACATAAAATACATTTGTTACCCTTTACAAAGAAACTTTAAGAACATAAGAGAGGTTCCTCACTTCTGTTAAGCTTCAAGAACTTTTGTTTTTCCGTTTACACCACAGCATGCTATTACAATCTACTTGATCTTTGTTCTCTTAGTTTGTAATCTTTTCTCACTTAAGGCCTATCACTACCTTGAACATGTACAGATCAGTACCATGTCTATGCTTCACGTCTGAGCCGTTTTGTCATCTCCCTGAGATGAATTACTGGTACTAGGCTTATCATTTCCACCGTGCCTCTGTCAAAACAAAACCATCACAATCTATTCTTCAGGACTCTTACTTGTTTTAAGCAAAGACTCAGGCCAAAACGAATACAAAACCACATAGTAACAAGAACTGATAAGGTCAGGGAAAGTGTACACGAGAACCTTGAGTTGCTTTACCTTCTTTCTAAAATCGAAAGGAACGTATCTGAACTTGATCATGTGCACGATTTGGCGTTTCATAGTGAGAAAATACAGAAACAACCAGTAACACAACAAGATTGGCCAGAACACAGGCACATCCAAGAAGGAGAAGAAGGTCATGACAAATGCAACAACAAAAGCTTTAGTTGCTGCATACCTGAATCAGATAAGCAAAAATAAAAACTTTTATGAGAAGTCAAACATAAAACAGATCAATCAATCGAATTTTCGTCACAGGTAAAAGAGAAATTTTACCAGAACTTGAACTCGGGAAGACGACGAACAAAGGGCTTGAACTCATCAGAATCTCGTCTGGACACAGAAGCACCATCTACAGCTTCAAGCTCTGGATCGACTTTGGGAGAGAGAAAACCGATCAAGAGGTTCAAGATGTAAGTAGCGAGGCCATAGGAGATGACGAAGAATCCATACGCATAGTAAACTCTGAAGATATAAATCACAGCAGCGACTAAAGTCACTAGCCATCTTCGAACAAGGTGAGGAGCCGATCTGTCGAGGTAATTCTGAAATGACTTTGAGAATTCGATTCTCCATCTCGCAAGCGGTGAATCGATCACTGTATCTCCGTCTCCTTCATTTCCTGGTTCGTCCTCCATGAAATTGTAGCGAAACAGAAATGGCTAAACCCTAACACACCAAGTCAATGATCTCCAAAATTGAACAGAGGAAAAGGGAGACAACCCGAATCAAAATGCAATTCGTAAAGAGAATCGACTCTGAATCGATGATTTTGAACGAATCAAATTGAATTTTTCTCAGTTCCGTTTTGACGGAAGGTAAAGTGATCTTAAAGTCGTCTCAAGTCTGCTTGGTTTCTTGGAAAGAAGGAGAGAAGAGGAAACTGAATGACGTGGAGGAGTATACTCGACACGTGTCTCGATTTTAAGAGCCTCTCTGTGGAAAGAAAAGGCTTTATACTATTGTTTAGCATGTTGGGCTTCATAAGAATTCTGTAATCCCACTTTACATTCGGCAAAGCTGTGAGAAAACTAATTACTAGTTAAATTATTAAACTAGATTACTGTAGTTCAAAACAAATACTATTAAAATTTCCTTACGTTTGATTCTAGACTTCTATTTAATGACCACCAAGAAATCACTGCTCACAGTGAAATCTACCACATCAGTGGAATCAAATCCACTTTAGAAACAAAATTCTGATGACGTGGAATTATTATTTTTAGAAAACACTAAACCTTTTTGGGAAAAACCAAAAAACTTCTCTAGAAAAAAATTAAAAAATGCTTTTCAGTTCTGCTGGTATATGCGTCAATAAAATTAGGAAACTCCAAATACATATATCAAATCTTAAGCCGGTTTGATCTGAGTCCGTCCACTCGATATAGGGTAAGGCCAGACAAGATCTTGAAAAATCCAAAACCGAATATTTTCATTCTTCCGGATCCTAAACCGAATATTATAGTTATTTGTTTTGAATCATACGTTTGATTCTAGACTTCTATTTGACGACCACCAAGAAATCACTGCTCACAATAAGACACATGGGGTTAGGCATGTTCATTTTTATTCTACCGTAACAAAAAAAAAAACTCAATAATATGTCCAAAAATGAAAATTACTTGATTTGATTTTTAACTTGCTTTTATTTTAGAAAGAGATAATTATGGCTTATTTTCAGAATATTTAACTCTATAGCTCTTTTGTTTGAAGTAGCACTTTCAAACATCTTTGTCCTGCGAAAAGACAGTTTAATCCTGTCATTCATTTATTATTAACCAAACCAAAATTAACTATCTTAAACCAAAAAAATAATTCAAACCAATTCAATTACTTATATCTCTTTTCTCTCTCTCCTACACGTGAAAATATTGTATCTCACTCCCACTTTATGAATCTTCTTCTTCCTACGAGTATCTTCCTCTCTTCCCTCTTACAAATAGTATTCTTTATGTGTATGTCTCTACAGATTCTGGGATTAAAAAGAGCTTAACCATGAAATTAATTTATCAATTCATCTGTTTTTTTTTTAATCTAGCTTGTTCTTTTCTAGATCTGTTTTGCTGTTTTCGCTTTGAATAGCGATATGTCCACGCCCACTTGTCCATGTACACATTCCCTATTTGTTCTCTTCTATACGTAGGGACTATAATGCTCAAAAACTTATGTAAAAGATATGTCCATATGGACATGTACAAGTAGATGTTATTAAAAAATTATATATTTTTTGCTTAGTGTGAACATAATATGGTCACAGATTTTTTTTATCTGGTTTTGGATGTTGAGAACCAGATTGACGTGGACAGTGAGTCTATATACATATCCATATTTAAGATGCAATATGACCAATAAATCATTGACAGATTATCATAGTATCCGCTGAGGACGTAGAAGATGAGAACCAGATGGACGTGGATGGTGAATCTATATACATATCCATATTTGAGATATAATATAACCCATAAATCGTGGACATGGTCATCATAGCATCCGCTGAGGACGTGGATGGTGAGAACCAGATGGATCTAGATTGTGAGTATATATACATATCCATATTTGAGATGCAATGTGACAAATAAATCATGGACGCAACCATATGTGACCAATAAATCATGGACGTGACCATCATGGTCGGTGGATACATCCAGATTAGGTGGAGTCTGATGCTAATTTTTCTAAAACGAGATATCGGATGAATTTGTGGATTTGTCCATAATCTCAACATAGAAGATATGGACAGGTCTATATGGACACCATTAATGTATATGGTTTATTGAACAACAACAACAACCATAACACCAAGTTACTCACATTTTTACTCACACCAGATTGAGCAACATTCTACAAGCGTCCATATTATCTTACTTATTCACTTATATTAAAACATGAGAGCTTTCTCTCTAAAACTTTCAAGATGAATATCTTGTCTATATAAAGATAACCATATGGAACATAGTTAATGGTCAAGTCTCAACAAGCAAATTAAAACAAGAAACAATATACAATACCGTAGGGTTGTTGTCCAATGGTCGTTTTTTAAATATAATTTATGTCCACTGTGGTAAGAACACATGGAGACGAACAAATAAGGATTGTGTGGTGTACAAGTTTACATGGACAATTAATTTTAATTGTCTGCAACTATCCAGATCTGGAGAAATACGAGTTTTGGCATGCTCATCTGGTGTTGTCGAGTTATCTCTGGGTTTAACAGCTGAAGATGAAGAGTGGTGGTGGGAAAATTTGTGGCCACCGTTAATTAAAGAAGAAGAAGAAGAGAACAAAATGGTTAAGAGGAAGAAGAGAGATCTGAGAAAGAGAAAGAGAGATTCGAAAGGAAGAGAAAAAATAGAGAAGAGGAAAAATAGAGATTTGATAGAGAGAAATCTGAGAGAAAAAGAACATGCTGGAGAAAAGGAAGAAGATGATTTGAGTGAGAAAGAAAAAACAGGTGTGGAGAAAAAATGAGAAGTTGAACCGGTTTATGTTACAAAAAGTAAACCAATATATGCTCATTTAGAATGGGTAAGGACAGCAAAATAATTTTCTTCTTCTAAACTTAAAGAAAGAGCTACTTCAAATTAAAATGCTATAATATGTAAATAAAAACTCAAAAAGAGCCATATAGTGTAAACGACTCTTTTAGAAATCTAATAACTGTAACATTATGACACAAACTTGTGACTAGACGTTTAGCTAAAAAGTCATATTAATTTTTTTTAAGAAAAGGGAAATTAGGTGGAAGAGCATAAGTCAGACACCAAATTGACACTATTATTTTATTTTGTTTAATAAGTGAGAAATTATTCAGTACTCTACCCTCACCTTTTATCAATGTTAGTCAATAATATTCAATAGCAGTCCATACTTTTTATATCTGAAAACATATTACTTTTTCGTAGGAATTCGGTCTACATTATTTACTCATTCTCTTTCTTCAAGTTTGAAATTTAAATTGGACATTATTTTCCCCTCTCACTCTCTATTCTCTCTCAATTTATTGTTTTTCACATCCACTTTGTTGCTGTCCGTCGCTGTGTCTAGATTAATCCACCGCCGCAGAAACAAGTTGACAGGTTAGCTTTTGAATCTAATATTTTTTTCGTTTCTCACTCTCTGCTTTCTAGCCAACTCGTTACCACTAAGAACATAATCACATCAACTCTTGTTTTGTGTTTTCTCGTTTTTATCGTTTCCCTGCAAAAACGCTTGTTCGTTATGTTAGATCTAGCTTTACAGAACCCTTATAGTTCGAATATCCATATAACAACTATATTGTATTTTTAATCTAGGTTTTCTTCGTTTTCTCAGCTTGCTATAAATTAAAAACATGAATCTTGTGATCTCATTTTACTTGTTTTCTCGTTTTTCCGCAAAATCACTTGTTTGTAATGCTAGATCTAGCTTTGCAGAATACTTAATAGTTAGAATATGAACAACTATATAGTATTCAACTACCAAGTAGTTCTATCGTTTCATAAATATTTCCCTGACTATTAATAGTTGACTACCTTCATGTGCTTCTAAATATATTGTGATCAACTTAGATCTTACTTGTTGTCTATTAGTAGTTATCTACTTTAGTTTGTTCATTTCGCTTAGATCTGATTTACAAATATGTCTTCTCAGATTTACGTTTTCAAATAAATTGTGGTCAACTAAAATTATATAGTAGTGTCAAATCTTCATTTTTTTATATACGTCCATTACGAAGTATTGTTATATCTGTCTATTTTATGTTAACATTGCTAATCAACTACAATAGTGAAACCAAAGACAAATCCTATGTTATTTATTGTCTACTAATAGTTGTCAACTTTATATTTATTTATTATAATGGATATCCATCTACTAATAGTTGTCTACTTTATATTTATTTATCAGAATGGACAACCTCCACTAACTAAAGACACATCTACTTCTGAACATCTCAACGTCTCGGCAGAAGGTCTTCGAGTCAGCCATCAAATCTGCTATTCTCCTCTTCTTCTCTTTGCTTACCTTCCTCATGGTTCTTCTCTTCTTGAGTTAGACCAAGAGAAAAATCTGGATGATCGTATATTACTGGATTCAATTGTACTTAACAGTAATCGATTATGGTTAAAATATAGTCAACTACATACTGAATTTATAAACTGTAATATATATTTAAGATTTGTAAACATATACTACAATAAGAGATAAAAATAGACAACTATTAAAATTCGATTACGTATGTGTTCTTTAGCTACTTCATAATTTGGATTAGGGAGGCCAACATTCTCATCGGTAACCTAAATGATCAAAAGAAATGTGAGACATAGTCGAATATATATATATCACTTAGATAGACAACTATTAATTGATGAATACAAACCTGTCTTTTGTCTAATTCGGAATTCGGATCTGGGATGTCTGCATTTCATGGGTGGACTAAACAGTAACACAAGATAAGTGAAAATAATCGATTATGAAATAAACGCCTACTAATAGGTGAATACGAACTTGATCTTTAGCGGGTTCGACATTCGGATCTGGGAGGTTTGAAACTCTTCGGTTACCTGAACATTAACATATCACCCATGAAATAAATTGATTATATAGTAGATGTCTACTAATAGATAGATACGAACTTTGACCTGTGCAGGCTCTGAATTCGGATGTAGGAGGTCTGCATTTTCGTAGGTGGTCTAAACAATAACACAAGATAAGTAAAAATAATCGATTATAAAGTAGACAGCTACTAATAAGTGAATACGAACTTGATCTTTAGCGGGTTCGAAATTTGGATATGAGAGTCTGAAACTCCTCGGTTGCCTGAACATTAACACATCATCTATGAAATAAATTGATTATATAGTAGATGTCTACTAATAGATAGATGTGAACCTTGACCTTTGCAGGCTCTGAATTTGGATCTGGGAGGTCTGTATTTTCGTGGTTGGTCTAAACAATAACACAAGATAAGTGAAAATAATCGATTATAAAGTAGACAACTTCTAATAGATGAATACGAACTTGATCTTTAGCAGACTCGACATTCGGATCTAGAGGTCTGAAACTCCTTGGTTGCCTGAACATTAACACATCATCCATGCAATAAATTGAGTATATAGTAGATGTTTTGGTTGCCTGAACATTAACACATCATCCATGAAATAAATTGAGTATATAGTAGATGTCTACTAATAGATAGTTACGAACTTTGACATTTGTGGACTCCACTACACTCCAATCGATGTGTAAAAGTTCACACTGCTATTGTTCAAAAATTAAGAATAATGTCTTAAACTTTACAAAAATTATGTATCATTTTTGTGTCAGAGAAAAGCAATGTGTAAGATAAAGGAATAAGGGGTTTATGATATTTTCCCACCTTTTATAAAGTTGATTTTGTTAACTGACCCATCTTCTATGATATTGTCATAATTGTCAAACATAAAAGTATTATTTCTGCAATTTACCCTTAAGAAACGGAAAATAATTATTAACGAACGGAAGGAAAGCGCCTAATCTCAAGACACGTGTCATGTATCGATTTGCTAATCGGATGCCTTTTGGTAACATCAATGTCGTCCTTTTTCTTTTCCTTCAATTAAAAGGTACACACATAAAAGCCAATTTATAGAAAACAATTAAAATCCTAGAGAAAAACGAAATTTATAGAATCACGTCCGTCGGATCCTATATTTTTCAAATTCAACGTACACGATTCATCGGAAAATTGATGATGAACAGCAACCAAGAAATTGGTGACGTCAGCGTCGCCTTCCTCCAACGTCCATAAAGAAGCGCCATAAGCACCACACTCACACACCAATACTCTACTGTAACTACTCTACATATATAAATAAACAAGCGGCACAATAAAGAGAGAAGAAAGATAAGAAAAAAAACGTTACGGAATCTCTTCTTCGGTTGCGTGATTGAAAGCTTGATATCGCATCTGTAAGGTCATCTTCTTCCTTTTTTTCCTTCTGTTTCATTCGAAATCCGCCGATTAGTTCGTTTGCGTTTACTTTCTTCCGTTAGTGGTGCTTGATTTTCGTTCCTGCTTGCTGAATCGGAGCGGTTTCGCCGATTTTTCGTTTTTTATGTCCGTTTTCTTTTCGTTTTGAGAACTTGGATTGTTGCGCGTATATGATCGATCCGTGGATTTACTAAGAAATGCATCAGTAGACTTGTTTTGTTGGGTTACTGCTATCAGATTTTCGGATTTGTTAAGTGTTGCCGATTAATAGCTACAGGTTAGAATAGGTGATGATTTTGAGTGTTTAGGTACATGAAATCGAGGATGGATCTACGTTTGTTCGATATCTCTGTTACTTTCAGTCCCTCGTGTTGTAAGATGACACGGAGTTGCATTAGCACAGTGAATATCGTAGATTGGTATGTGTGCTCCGATTTGAAACGGGATGTAGAATTTGAAATTTGAAACGCGATGTGGAGTTTGAACGAGGATTTGTTATTTTGGATTCTGATGGAAAGTAGAAGGATTCGTTGCTTTTTTGCTCTGGTTGTACAAGTTGTAAGAATAATTTACAGTATATGGCTTGTTTTGAGTTTAGTATGCTTGAATGAATCTATCGCTAGCGCTTTTGGTTTTTCTTTTTCAAGTTTATGGTTTAGAAGATTGAATTCTATTGGAATGTAGACGAATTTGGCTGTTTTATCCTCTGGTTATTGCACAAATTGTTCAGTTGTAAGAATTTGTTTCATGGCTTGTTTTGAGTTTGGTATGCTTGGATGACTCTCCTGCGGCTTATGGTGTTTGTTTGACGTTACAGTGAAGATTCGATATGGCTGATAACAACAATGAAGGAAGTGCCAAGAGCTATGCTTCCCCACTCAGGAACCCTAATGTTACTCTTAACGAGAGGAATTTTGCTGCCTTCACCCACAGATCAGCTGCTGCTCATCCTTGGCATGACTTGGAGATTGGTATGCTTATCTTGTGATACATGAAGTATCTTTGTTCTTGTATCCTTGTCCTAGTTAATTTACATAGAGTCATGTAATTCTAGTCATTTGCTGCGATACATTGAGAGTTTTTGGTTGGGTTGTTCATTCTTTTATGGGAATGTTTGTTTGCTGAATTTTGCAGGTCCGGAAGCTCCTGCTGTTTTCAACTGTGTAAGCTTTATCTCCTTTTGCGTTGCAGAAGATTAGATAAATTCAAGAGTGTAATGAATTTGAAATTCTATATCAGGTTGTTGAAATTAGCAAAGGCGGCAAGGTTAAGTACGAGCTAGACAAGAACAGTGGCCTTATTAAGGTAAAGTGCATTTACCCGATTGAGTATAAATTATCTTCTGATTCCTCATGTTCTTGTCTAATTCTACGGTTATATACATCATATATACACAAGTCTTCCTTGCCGGATGTATCAGAAGTCACAGTTATGCATTCGAACCAAAGATTCTTCATTATAAGATATGAAAAGTAGACGAAAGTCTGATCACTGAATGTTTTTCCGCTCTAGGTTGATCGTGTTCTCTACTCATCCATTGTGTACCCCCACAACTACGGTTTCATTCCTCGAACCATTTGTGAAGACAGTGATCCAATAGATGTCTTAGTACTGATGCAGGTGCGTTCTCTCACCTCTTCTTAGCGTTCATGTTCATGCAAACTTGACATAAACAGACACTGAAATAAATAACTTGAGATGGTTGATACCTATTGCGCAGGAGCCTGTTCTAACTGGATCGTTCCTCCGTGCACGTGCTATTGGTTTAATGCCCATGATTGATCAGGTAACAATCCTCAGACCCAAAATTATATCTTTTCCTTTCTTCGTGATGTACTAATTAGTGAGAAACCATAATTCACCTTGTTTTGAAACTTGCAGGGTGAAAAAGACGACAAGATAATTGCAGTATGTGCTGATGATCCCGAGTTTCGTCACTACAGAGACATCAAAGAGCTTCCTCCTCACCGTCTAGCTGAAATCCGACGCTTCTTCGAGGATTGTATCCACAAAATCACACCGCATTTCTTTTCAGTTTTCACTGAACACAACAAAACAGTCTGTTTTTGGTTTGGCTTATTTTTTTATATCAGTTTTCACTTAACACAAAACTTTTAGACAAGAAGAACGAGAACAAGAAAGTCGCTGTTGAAGGTTTCCTCCCAGCTCAAGCTGCCATAGACGCAATTAAGGACTCCATGTAAGTTTGTTTTCTCCAAAACACCAAAAGTATTTAGTACACTTTTTACTCTATTATCGTAGTTAAAACAAACAATGTATGGTTTTGATTTGAAATACAGGGATCTTTACGCAGCTTACATCAAAGCTGGCCTGCAGCGTTAATGAACAAACCAGTCCAGTCCGGTTCCTCCCGGTTTGGTTTGCTTTGATTTCACTAGCATTGAAGCCTTCTTCTTATACTACATGCATATTAAACCATTTTCGCAATGTACATCGAAAAACTTTGTCGACTCCAAAGCTTTCTGATGATGACGATAAAAAATTCCAGTTTTAATCATTAAATTTGGAGATATATTAGCTTCTTTTCCCAAAATTTTGTTTAATGCTGTTTCGCAAACATCCCAAAAAAAGAAGTAATTTCACAACATTTAAGAAGAAGAAGAAAAGAACTAAGCTGCTCGTGGCTTCTTCTTCTTTGTCTTCTTGTAGTTCTTATGCCAGGTCTTATAAGTACCCTTAACCTTCTTCGAGTTCTTGGTAGATGTCTTGGTCTCAGCATCTGCAATTTCATCTGTTGCATCATCATCCTCATCATTGTCTCCTCCAATATCAAACAGATCATCCTCTTCTTCATCAGAACTCAACACAAAATCCTCCACAACATCATCTTCTGCTCCGCCTTCCTCATCCTGTTTCTTCTGCTCTGTTTTGCTCTTCCTCTTCCTTTTCTTCTTCTTGATCTTCTCTTCTTCCACCTCTTTTTCTCTGCCAATTATACAAGCCGGTGAGGTTAAGACATTAAAGGCAAAGGAGACAACCCCTATCTAGATTCACCAAATTCACCGAGCAACCTGTAACTATCCAAAGTACTGAAAATAACTTTAAATTGAGACCCAACCCGACCCATCCAAGATTTGTATATGAGGATTGATTTCTGCTTACTGAACCACTACTAACTTATACACGGTTTTACCCATAATCTACCACACCATTTACAATATTATGAAACACCGAAATGAGCGCATTTTAAAGAGGAAGAGAGACATACTTGGAGTCACTTCCAGGTAACCAGGAGGAACTGAAAGCTGCAGCACCCTTTTCGATCCTATCTGCTTCATCTTCTTCCTCATCGCTGCTTGGTGCATTTTTCCCAAAGACAGCCGAGTTCTCTCCCACAATGACACTAAATAAACCAGACGGATTATATTGTCAGCAGTCAAATAAACACAACGGACCACAAGGCCAAGATTAAAGAAAACACAAGTCTCGATTTTAGAGGGATGTATGTAACTCACTCTGATTCCACCAGCGATTCATTTCTTTGCTGGGCTCTTTGGCGGATAATCTTTGCATATTGCGATAGAGGGCTTTTCCCTGCCTTCTTATCATCCTGAACAGTAAATACCGCGTAAAAACGTTCAGAAAAAGTATGTATAAAGAAAGAAACTACTTAACGAATTCAAGTAGATCAAGAGAAACGAGTTACTATACCTCAAGGAAAAATTTAGCAGCAGGCTCATTGGGTACAAAATTAATCGACGCTCTCTTCTTGTTGACAAAATCTGAGTTAGCTTCAATCTGAAAAGCAAAAAATACACAAAAAGTAAATGACAAAGAAACCAAAAGAGTCATTAAAACACAACTCATAGTTGCAAGTACAATATATACATTAAGTAAAAAGACCATTTCTCTTCTTTACTAAGGTACCTGGCTAATGAGTTGCTTCATTTCTTTCCTAAACCTCTCAGCTTTAGTGGTTTTGTAAAAGCTACGAAGCCTTATGGTCGGAATAAATGACAGTTCTAAGAACGCAACGGAATAACTCCACTGAGACAAATGCTCCACAAGCTCCTCCACTACAGAATAAACACATGCCTCCTGAAACGCTCTCGTCTTCACTGCCGGTTTACTTACCTAGAACAGAATTTTTAGCAATCAAAATGTTTGCAGGTTCAAATTTCATTCTAGTATCTTCGTTTCTAACCCAAATAATTATTTTACCTTGAGTAGCGTGCGTAAATCAACACCTTTGCCAACACCTCCAGAGGGAGGTCTATTGAGCTCTTTCATGTCTAACATGTCCATAAGAAGCATTGAGACGGGTATAAAGGTACCAGTTGAAGAAGCAATCCGGTTTAGCATACTAACGCATCTTAGTCTAAGGGGAATATAGCGAGCAGTGGGAACAAGTCGTGCTACACCAGATATTATTTGGGCTAGTGGATAAGCAACTGGTCTGAGTTCAGACTTGCTGTAGGCACATACAGCTCCTGTCCAAAGCTCAAGACAATGGATGAACTTCCATTGATACACTTTCCGAAATGCTTCCTGTAAAAACAACCAAAATGTAAATAGAGAGTTAAAGCAACTTTTCACAACATGCAAGTGTAGTGTTTAACCAGAACAACTCAATTTCTAATATCTTATTATAAACGTTACTTTTGTTTTTGTGTTAAGTGCTTCACGCAGGATCATTGCCAATTGCCTTATGAAGACAAACGCATGCTGATACGAAGCAGAGATATCAGTGCCGAGAAACTCGATGACGGAGTTGCCAAGAAACGATATGTGCTGCAGTTTAGCAGCATTTACAAACTGGCAATTCAACACATACGCTTTGTACATTCCCTTGATGCAGTCATCTATACAGTCAGTTCCAATGCGTATGCACATATCTCTCAGGAACAACAGCGAAACAACAGAGATGGCGCTAGTGCCGGTTCCCCAGAAATGAAGTGCAACCTAGATGGAGGAAGAGCAAAATGAACAAACAAAGGAGACAAAAACCAATAGGTTAAGTTGAACAGAATGATGTTTTGCTCTAACACACCTTTATATATTTCCTTGAGAGGCTTGGAAAAGCAGATAGAAAAACCGATGAGTGTTTTAGGCGACGCAGAGTAAAAGTTATCATTCCTGTGTCGGTCATCTGATTAAGAACATGAAGGGAATTCCCAAGATATGATTTGACCAAGTGATTATAGTTCTTCCAAGGCCTTGTGTTTGTCACCTCCACTATAGTATCTTTCATTCCTCCAGTTTCAGGAAGCCTTAACAGCTTACGAAGAATCCCATCCATTTCACTTAGAACAAATATCATTATCTTGTTAAACACAGCGCTCGACATAACACTGAACTTTGCAGACTGATCGTCCCCGGTATCATCACCATAGTGACAGGCAGTTCTATAAGCTCTCAAGATAGAACGCACTGCACCTAGCTTCGCGTCTTCTCGGATTGATTTACACCATGAATCAACCATGGCTGCTGTAATAGTTTTCTGCTCGTTAACTTTCTTTGCAATTTCAAGTTTCGGTGTTTCATCAACACTTTGCTTTTCAGTGTCTTCCACGTCGGTATCAGCATCAGCTTCAACATCAGCATCATCCTAACCAAATTGTTCAAAAAGAGAAGATAAAAGCTTCAAACACAATTTGCGTTAAGGTGGCAAAGTCAACAAATTCAAATCTACTGACTCACCTGAAATTCGGCAGCATCAAACTTTAGAAGCTCTTCATCATGCTCTTTCATATACTCATAAAAATCAGCTTGCTGCAGAAAGAAATCATCTTTAAGTTAAAAAATCTAGTATCCACCATATGATTACAATAAAAAGAACCAGCATTTTACAAGATGACTCACTGTTTCTTGAAGCCTCTTAAGCTGTTCTTCATGCTCCTCAGCTTCCGCTTTCTTAGATTTCACTTTCTTTCCACGCTTTTTAGCACTCATCTGATCCGGTTCTATATCATCTACTTCCAATAAACCATTCATAATTTCAAATCTACGAAACTCAAATAAAAGTACAAACCCTTTCTTTGATGCATAAAATATTCACCTTTGGTACCCATCTTAAGCTGTTCTTCATGCTCCTCAGCTTCCGCTTTCTTAGATTTCACTTTCTTTCCACGCTTTTTGGCACTCATCTGATCCGTTTCTATATCATCTACAGTCATCCAATAAACCATTCATTAATCTCAAATCTACGAAACTCCAATAAAAGTACAAACTTTTTTTTATGCATAAAATAGCCACCTTTGGTACCCATTTCCAAATTCAACACTCAGGTTAATCGCCTACAATAAAAGAAAAAAACCATCAATGGTTAGAAAAAGTGATCAAAACAAAAGTCGAAATCAGTACGGAGACTTGGAACAAACAGGAAAACGCAAATAAGAAGAAACTATGGTTTTAGGAGAAGATTTTGATTACCGTACCCTATCTCTATTATCTACCGAACAATTCGAATTGTTTCCAACTTCTCAGAACTTGGAAAAAACAGGATGAATCGTTCACGAAGAATTTAACAGAATAAGAAAAATAGAGCTCCCAAATTAGATAAAACAGAGGCATGTACCTGCGATTATAAGAAGAAGTCGACGAGAAAAGAGGAGAATAAACAAAGAAGCTGTTGTCGTGGTCGCCGAGACTGCCGTCTGAAGAGAAGTGAAGAGGTTTAGTTAGGGTTTATCTTTGTTAGTTAACAAACTTCTTTCCCAGCTAGAAGGTTTAAGTTTGACCCGTCAACCAATCGGTTAAACCAAAACTCCAATTTATGGGTGTTAACCAAATTATTTAAGATTTAACCGGATCGTGAGTTCTAGCCGGATCTTATTCGGATCAAAAAAACATTTCACAATGCGATTGCACCCACACAAAAAAAAGGATATTTTACAATGCTGGAAAAAAGGTAATCATCAATGGCCAAAATAAATAAATAAAGGAGGAATTGCTAAAAATAAGCCACAATTTGAATGTAAATGCAAAAGTATACCTCAAATTCAACCTATTGCAAAAATAGGTTAAAAGGTAGAAAAATTACTATTATCTCATACATGAGTAAACAAAAAAACGGAGGGCAGTATTACAGTTTTAACCCTGCGAAGTCTGCAAATATTAATGAAATCTGCAGACTTATAAGAAATCTGCTATATTATTAAATTTTATATTTAAAATTTAAAATTATATAAAAAATAATTTAAACTGAAATTTGTTTCTATAAATCAAATGTCAACAAGTATGATCTATATAAATTATAATTTAATAAAAATAAATCATTTTAAACCATCTAAGATAAACATCAAAAGTGAATAATTTTAAAGTAGGATTGTAGACTTCTTTATAAGTCTCCTCAAACCGTAAACGAAATTAAAATAAAATATTGATTTAAACCGGAAATAATTAACCTAACCAGATATAACCGGATATTTTTGCTCTATTATATAAATGAGATTTTACCCTAAATCAGAAACTCTCCACTTTGATCCCTCTCTCCAAAAACGGCGCTGCATTTTCTTTGTTGCTGTAATCCTCTTTCTTGCTGCTCTCCATTTTTTATATGTTCTTCATTCACTTGAGTTCGGTTATGCAATCATCTACAACAAGGACCAAGCTTGGGACGACCACGTAAGAATCTGTCCCATTTAATTATTTTACAAATTTTTGTTGATTTCATCTTTTTCTAATGCTATTTTGGTCGTTTTCTTTGTTATTGCAGTGGATTTTCTGGGTGGGACTATTCGTTGGTGCAGCTCTTATGGCTCTCTACCAACAGCTTGTCATCAGAGCAATTCCATTTATGACCACAAGCTGATTTCTTTCTTAGATTAGTCCCTTTCTTTTTTAAGTTTTTTGTTTTTTTTTTCATAGAGGCTTTTTCCAGTGTATTGTTCTCATCCTTTTCCTATTTTATTAATTTTCTTTCTCTCGGATCCATTGTCTGTAACCCATGTTCTAAAAAGCGGCCGCCAAGACCGATTAGTCGTTTAAGACTTGAAATCAAATTCTTTGAAAATTCTTTTTTTTTTCTTCGTTTAAGACTTGAAATCAATATATGTATGCCAGATCTATAAGATTTAGGTGTGAATAATAAGAATAATGCAAAAAACTGACTGATTCTGTGAAAAAATTGGCTTGCAGCCGCGAAAAAGAGTTGCAGAACTCGAAAAACCTAGATAGAAGACGAAAACAAAATTACAATTATGCCATTTTAAAAACAAAAAGAATAACCAAAATTGGAAGCATAATGGTTCGAACCCACGTACTTTGGGCAACAAGTGGGTTTGTTTCCACCAGACCACAAGAGTTTGTTAACGTTGTATGCGTTAATAAAGTAATTTATATACTATCAAGACCGTAAATGCAAGAATAACTGATTTTTCAAACTTATACAAATGCAAGAACTAACAAATAAAAATAATTGAAAGGAAGTAAACTTCTAAACTTCTTTAGAAGTCTGCAAAAATAGATAAATCAAACAAGAAAATTCATTACTTTGTAATTATAACACATAACAACGTCAAACTCATATAGATGCAACACAAAAAAACAAAAAAACATGTCAAAACAAGAAAATCATTTTTACAAGTAACAAATATTTCAAAAATGATTTTTTAAGAAAAATAATTAGGCAGACTTCTTATGCAGTCTGCTATGATATGCTAATATGTAACAGTAGACTTCATCTACAGACTTTTTTAGAAGTCTGCTTAGATGTGCTAATTACCTTTCAAACCAAAAAAATTCATAACTTTATAATTATAACACATAAACACACCAAACTCATACAGGTGCAAGAATCATACATAAAATGCATTTACAATTTAAAATTAAAAAAAAACATTACAAATACTTTATTAAATGCATTTTAAAAATTTTAAAAAATACAGACATCCGTTCAAAATCCGCCGGGGAAATTTCACGTTGAAGTCTTCTAAAAAAAGGTTATTTTGCATTTGACCAAATATTTGACTTTTCGTAGTAGACTTCTTTTTGCAGTCTGCGAGAAGAAAATGTTATTTTTGCAATTGACCAAAAGTTTGACTTTTAGAGCAGACTTCTTAAGAAATATGTTGACGAGTAAAAGAAGTCTGCTATAGTAAAGAAGTCTGCTTATGAAGTCTACTCTACAACATAAGTTTACTCAAGGTTATTTTTGCAATTGACCAAAAGGTTGACTTTCGAAGCTCGAAGTCTGCTAGGCGCAGACTTATTTAACAGTCTGCTTGTAGGTCAGATTTGCATTTGACCGAATCTTAATTAAATAAATAGCAGACTTCTAAAATAAGTTTGTTATTTAGTTTTTTGTAGCAGACTTCAATTGAAGTCTGCTATAAAAGTCAAAAGTAGTCAAAATCTTGGTCAATTGCAAAAATAACCTCTCGAGTCAAATTACAAAATAGCAGTAGAAGTCTGCTATAAAAGTCAAATTAAAGTTCTTCAATTTTTGTGGTCAAATGCAAAAATAACATTTTCTTCTCGCAGACTGCAAAAGAAGTCTACATGATTTTTTTTGTTTCCAAAGGACAATTTGTTTTAAGTCTGCTTACACAAATATTAAAAAAAAGTCAATTGCAAATCTAACATCTGCGTTGACTAGCAGACTGAAAAAGAAGTCTGCTTTCGCGAAACAGAGATAAATGTTAAAGAAAATGAAGTAGATGTTTACCTACTTCCAATTTAAACTCGATTAACTTTGACAAACACCTAGAATTTTGTATAGCACCGATAACAAACTAGCTAAGTCGTTGTGCAAGAATCTCCAAAAATAGATGATTTATGAAATTTGAATTTATAAAAATGAGCATGAAAGAGTTTTTTAGATGAAATTGGAGAGAAATTTGTAGGTAAAATGAAGTTATAAGCGACACAATAAGCATTTAGAGCTTCAAAATTGGTTGGGCAAACATTTAGAGCTTCAAAACTGGTTGGTAATGGTGGTTGGCAAATTGAAAAAGATGGCATTTTCGTAAATAAATGATATATTTTAGTATGGTTGTGTCTTTTTAGTATTTTTAAGAAAAAACAAAAATTAAAAACATAATGGCATTTTTGTGAATATATGTAGTTGTAAGGAGATAGTAGAGAGAAAGTGGCATTTATTAAAGAGGGAAAAAAAGAGGTTACTTTTGCATTTGACTTCAAATTGTAGGTTATTTGTGCAAGTACCTCATAAATAAAAAACTCAAGAATTCAATAACTGACGGTCTGATTCCAAATAATGTATTTCATGGCACATTTTCTTAATTGGATAAATTTATATTCAAAATCCCCTATTATTGCTTTCGAATTATACGTATGTTTTGTCATTTCACTACTTAACAATACTTGCAGGATAAAGAATTTAGGAAATCTTTTAAACTTTGACCAGTTGTTGAGCGAGTTTATTTATATTTTTCTTTTTTCACTGAAAATTGAAATAATTTTTTTTGTGTAAATGTTTTTTTAATGTAAATGTTAATATGGTGAAAAGAAAAAACCATGTTAATTTTTTTAATCATTCAAATTCTTTTGGATGGAGCTAAACCACATGTTATAATCAAACCTCTTCATTTCGTGATTAAAACCCCTAAGAAAGAATCAAAGCTTACAATCAAAAACTATTCGATTCTTCTTCTTTCTCGACTGCATGTAAAGACTCTTTGAGTTAGTGAGTTACAATTATTTGGTTAAGGGATATTAATGAAAACCCATCACCCATGTGGTTTTTTAGCCTTTTATTTTGTTAGTTTAATATTGATATACCATACGTACGTGTTATCTACACTCCCTGTAATAAGTCTAGTGTTTATTCTATTGTTAACGCAACGTTTATCATGAAATGCGAGTCCTAGTCTTTGTTTAGATATTTTTTTTTGTCTTTCTTTAGTTTAATTAAGGAAAGAGATAGGAATAGAGGATACGACCGATGAAAGTTTGAATTTTCAAAACCGGCAACCTAATTTAATTAATGCACGATCAATATGCTTACAATTTTTTTATAATATCAACTATATAAAAGACATCAAGCACTCTCTCTTTACATAACCACAATTTACAAACAACATTACTTCTCTTTACTTCTCTCTCTCTCTCTCATAAACTTCATAACTTCTCTGTCCCAAGAAATTTAAACTTTTTCAAGTTTGATACACCGACAAAAAAAAAAAAAAAACTAATCATAATAAAGATGCAAATGCTAAGAACCCTGAGCACGAGGTCAAGGAGCCGTCGCAGCGGATACGAGCTTGTAGGTGATAGTTATCTCGGAGCAAAGCTAAGGAGGTCGACGAGCGTCCCATACTATGCTCCATCGATAAGGCTTGGTGGAGGTTTACCGGCGGCGATCTTGGAAGAGCTTCCACGACAAAAGTCAAAGAAGACGGTGGTGACAAGCAAATCTAGTCATCCAATCTTTAGTTTATTTCACCGTAGCAAGAAGAAAGCGACGGCTAAACCAGAGTTTTCTAGGTATGCTGAGTACCTTAGAGAAGGTGGAATGTGGGATTTGAGAACTAATACTCCTGTTATCTACTTTAAGTAGATGTTTTGTGTATATCTGTTTTGGTTACTGTTCATTTATTATTTCATTTGCGATATCGTTGTTAATTATAAGAATTTTCTTTGAAGGTTTTTTTCCAAGATCAAGTGGGATGAACTAGCTAAAGCTTATATATATCACCAAAAGTAATTTTCTTTGAGTCTGTACTAAATCGTGTTACATCTTGTAAGGTGTGTTAACAGATTTACTAGCAATAAAGTTAAAGTTGAAAGAAAAATCCTGTGTTAAGTTGTGTTGTTGTTCTTGATAAGTGGCTCTTGCGTTTTCAATTGGTATCAGAGCAGTCATCTGTATTTTGCAAACAGGTGAGATCCTGCGGTGATGGAGAGCTATCAAGAACTTGTGAACCATTCAAAAGTGATTTTGAATGCTGGAAACTACGGCTTCTGGAAGGCAAGGATGAGATCGCTCATTAGAGGAATTGATCCTTTGGCATGGAAGTCTGTCTTGGTTAAGTGGGAAGAGCCAGAACAGAAGAATGACTCTGGAGCTGATGAGCCTAAACCTGAAGAGAATTGGATGGAAGACGAAAGGAAGAAGTTCAAGTACAACTCAAAAGCACTGACTGCTATTCACTGTAGCATATCAGCTGAGACGTTCAATCTGATTCAGGGGTGTGAGACAGCCAAGGAAGCTTGGGACATACTACAGATACAGTTTGAAGGAACCGCCAAAGTGCAGAACTCAAAAAAGGACATGCTAGCTTCGCGTTTTGAAAACCTGAAGATGGAAGAGCATGAAACCATTGCTGACTTCAGTTCCAAGCTGAGTGCTCTGACTCAGGAGGCTGCTACTCTGGGAAAGCATTACAAAGACAAGAAACTTGTGAAGAAGTTTCTAAGGTGTCTTCCTTCCAAGTTCATGGGGTACAAGTCAGCTCTGAGTGTGAATCAGGACACTGAATCTCTAAGCTTCGCAGAGATTGTTGGGATGCTTCAGTCTCACGAGATGGAACTGAACGGCGAAAAGAAGCAAAAAGGGTTGGCACTGTCATCGGTCCTCGAGACAAAGTCATCAGAAGAAGAGAAGTGTGAGGATGCACTAGGATTGCTGGTGAAGAGGTTTGACAAAGCACTACGACGGGTTGAGAAGACATATGATTAGAAGAAGACTGTACCTGCAAGACGGACAAAAGAAAGCAGTGAAAGAAGGGGTGATGTTCAGTGTTACGAATGCAAAGGTGTTGGGCATTTCAAAACTGAGTGTCCTACACTTAAGAGAAGGGAAATTCAGTGCTTTGGATGCAAAGGTTTTGGTCACACACAACTGGAATGTGTTAATGATCAAAATCGAAGAAAGGAGAAATCCATGCTGGCCGAGGAGGATACCGGAGATGACAGTAGTGAAGGCACTGTGGAGGAAGTTAACAACTTCGTCTCATTCATAGGTATTGCTGAAATTGATGAGAATATGGCTGTGACAGATGCTGAGTCGGAAGTTGGGGCTGATGATGAGCTAAGTGAAAGCTACAGAGAGGTTCGTGAGACTCTGATCAAGATCGGAAAAGAGAATGCTGATCTGAAGAAGGAGAATCTTCAACTTAAAGAGAAGGTGGAAGAGTTGCAGAGAGAACTGGAAGCAGCTCAGAAACTGAGTCAAGAGAGTGTTGCATTGATCAAAGACAAACTGAACCTGGCAAAGAAGGCTGAACAACTGGAGCAAGATCTGAGTCAGGAGAAAGGTATCTCAAACAACCTGATGGGAGAGCTTGTCGAGCAGCGCAAAAAGATTCACATGTTTGCTGGAACGAAGCAACTCGATCAGATCTTGAGCTATGGGAGAAGGTCTGACACTCGTAGAGGACTGGGGTACAATGCTCGAACCATGGTTGAAACAGGTACTACAAAGTTTGTGTCAGGTGGTACTACTCGATCATAAGAGATGGGCAACAGGGCACAAACTACCACAGTTAAGAGCAACGTTGCTGCGTCAACCTCAAGAAACGAAGGTCTGCCAATGAGATTGAGTGGATGCTTCTACTGTGGAAAACCAGGGCATATTAGAAATCATTGCTACAGGTTCTGGAAGCAAGTGAGGAAGCTGAAGGAACTCGGGAGATTTACCTGGAATGGTTTCAGAAACCAGATTTGGGTCAGGAAAGGTGATCTGAGACAGGCAACTCCAAGACAACCTCAGAGGAGAGTACCTACGCAGAACACGAACCCAGGAGTGGGGTTTAAGTGCAACATGGCCCTTTTAACAAAGGATGATGATCAATCTGCGACATGGTATTTCGATAGTGGATGCTCACGACACATGACTGGTACCAAAGGGTTTCTTCAGAATCTGAAAAAGATCAAAGGAGGAAAGGTCACGTTTGGTGATGGAAGCATTGGTGCAATCCAAGGAAAAGGAAGGACAAGAGTAATCGGGCAACCTCAGCTAGCAAATGTGTATCTGGTTCATGGACTACAAGCAAATCTGATCAGCATAAGCCAACTGTGTGATGAGGGACTGACTGTCGTATTCACCAAAACAGACTGCAGAGCTGTGGATGGGTTCGGAAAGATCATTCTGCAAGGAATTAAATCTAGAAACAACTGTTACATGTGGAATTCCTCTTGTAGAGAAGAGAAGTGCTTCACAGCACGCGATGACCTACATCTATGGCATCAACGGTTGGGTCACATGAATGTTAGGAGTCTTGCCAATCTGGTTGACAAGGAAATTGTCAGAGGGGTGCCAAAAGTCAAGGGAGTCGATAAATCAGTCTGTGGACCGTGCACTCAAGGCAAGCAAGTCAAAGTTCAACACAAGAGGGTCCCTGATGTACAGTCTAAGGCAGTTCTTGATCTGGTTCACATGGATCTGATGGGACCAGTTCAAACTGAGAGCTTGGGAGGCAAACGCTATGTGTTCGTCCTTGTGGATGATTTTTCTCGGTACACCTGGGTCAGATTTCTGCGTGAAAAAACTGAGACAGCTGAAAGTTTCAGAATATGGGCTCTGCAACTTCTGAATCAGCGTGGTGGCATAAGAGGCATTCGGAGTGATCATGGTGGTGAGTTTCAGAATGAATCCATGAAACTCTTCTGTGAAAGCCACGGCATTGCTCATCAGTTTTCAGCGCCCAGGACCCCACAACAGAATGGGGTGGTGGAGAGAAAGAACAGAACACTACAAGAGATGGCACGAGCAATGATACATGGGAACAAAGTATCAAAGAAGTTCTGGGCTGAAGCAGTCAACACCGCTTGTTACATCTTAAATCGAGTCTACGTCAGAAAGGGAACTAGTAAGACACCTTATGAAATGTGGAAAGGAAAAACCCCTAACTTGAGTTACTTTCATGTCTTTGGCTGCAAGTGTTACATCCTTAACGACAAAGACTATCTCAGAAAGTTTGACTCAAGAAGCGATGAAGGAATATTTCTGGGGTACTCGGGAAACAGCACTGCATTCAGGGTATTCAACATCAGGTCTAAAGTGCTGATCGAGTCAGTGAATGTGGTGTTTGATGACTATGCTTGCACTAAGTGGGAAGGAACTGCAACATGCAGTGACTCAGACGAAGAGAAAGAAGACTCATCAGTAGCTCACACTAAGGAAGGTGACCAGGCAGCTGTGATCCCACCATCTGAGGTTCAGCAAGTTCACCGAAATCACTCATCTTCTGATCTCATTGGCGATGTGAATGAAGGAAGAAGGACTCGGGGGGTTCAGTTGGACTTCAAGAAGATGGTTGGAAAGTTCTCAGAGATGGTCTTGTTTGCATGCTTTGTCTCAGTGATTGAGCCTCGAGACGTGAGACAGGCCCTTGGTGATGAGTTCTGGATCATAGCTATGGAACAAGAACTAGAGCAGTTTGTGCGAAATGACGTGTGGGAGCTGGTTCCAAGACCTCCTGAAGGCAATGTTGTGGGAACCAAGTGGATCTTTAAGAACAAGATCGATGAAAACGGAGTGGTGGTGCGTAACAAAGCAAGACTGGTCGCTCAAGGGTTTTCACAAGTCGAGGGAGTTGATTTCGAGGAGACTTTTGCCCCTGTAGCAAGACTTGAGTCGATCAGACTATTCTTGGGGATGGCGTGTATCCTAAACTTTAGGGTGTATCAGATGGATGTCAAGAGTGCGTTCCTCAATGGAGTGCTTCAAGAAGAGGTGTATGTGGAACAGCCTAAAGGGTTCGAAGATGCTCAATATCCACAACACGTGTATAAGTTGAAGAAGGCACTGTATGGGTTGAAGCAGGCTCCACGCGCATGGTATGAAAGGCTCACTGGTTTCCTCGTGAAACAAGGGTATGTTAGAGGAAGTGTGGACAAGACCCTGTTCATCTATGAGCAAAACAAGCAGATTATGATTGTGCAAATCTATGTGGATGACATTATCTTCGGTGGAACTGCTCAGTCACTTGTGGATCGATTTGTCACAAGCATGACTCAAGAGTTTGAAATGAGCATGGTAGGTGAACTGAGGTACTTTCTGGGTCTGCAAATAACTCAGTCTGATGATGGGGTGTTTATCTCTCAAAGCACCTATGCGAAGAACTTACTTACACGATTCAAGCTTGATCAGTGTAAGGAAGCCAACACCCCCATGAGTATTACAGCCAAGCTCACTCGGGATAAAGATGGAACAGATGTTGACCCCACGGTGTATCGGGGGATGATTGGAAGCTTGTTGTACCTCACAGCAAGTAGACCTGACTTGTCCTTGAGTGTGGGCATTTGTGCTAGATACCAGGCGAAACCCAAGCAGTCACATCTTGAAGCAGTTAAGAGAATCATCAAGTACGTCAAGGGAACGGTCGAATTGGGGATCTGGTACTCCAAAGGATCAAACAAGCACTTGGTAGGATACTGTGACGCCGACTGGGCAGGGAGTGCAGATGATCGGAAAAGCACCAGCGGAGGCTGTTTCTTTCTTGGAAACAATCTAATCTCGTGGTTGAGTAAGAAACAGAACTCTGTCTCACTGTCTACTGCAGAGGCGGAATACATAGCGATGGGGAGCTGTTGCAGTCAGCTGATGTGGATGAAGCAAATGTCCGCAGACTATGGGATGGACTCTGGACCACTACTGGTTCACTGTGACAGCAAAAGTGCTATCAGTATTTCAAAGAATCCCGTGCAGCATTCCAGGACCAAGCACATCGATATAAGGCACCACTTTATTCGTGAGCTAGTGGAAGAGAAACAGGTAGTGATCGAACACATTGACACTGATTTGCAACTGGCCGATTTATTCACAAAACCTCTGGATTTTAATCGTTTTGTCACCTTAAGAAACTCGATCAGAGTTTGTGGTATGTGATTGTGTGTGAAGTGTGCAGGACTGATACAGAAACTGACTCAAGGGGACACTCAAGGTTTGGATTCAGTCTGGAGTTCTGATGCGAGTGGAAAAGAGCTGCCTCAATTTCCGTCGTACCTGGACACCAGTACAGGTTTCATGTAGTAGAAGAGAAGCTGAGCTAGTTTCGGAGAAGTCAAGTGATGAAACTAGCTCATTGCACTTGAACCAAAAAAAAAAAAAAAAAAAAAAAAAAGGGAGGCTCCGTACACAAAAAAAAGGGAATCTCTTTGCCTCCTCAAAATACACTCCTCTTTGGTTCCAAAAGCTTCTTTCTCTCTCATGGATAAAGGTTGAAAACTGGTGAAAGGGGTCGATAAAGGCAGTTGAGTGTGAAAGCTAGCCCATGTGTTGGGATGGCCAGACGCTATGAATCAGAACAAGCTAAAGGTGTCTCGTGAGTCAGAGGCTGTGTTTCGTCCCAATGCACTTCAAAGAACCTGGTAAAAATTGTGCAAGTTTTTTTTCTATAAAAAAAGGAGAGGCCAGGTGCATCGGTGATAGTTCATGTGTCACTATTTGTTCTTCATCTTTGGTTTATGAGTGAATGTGCCCGTGAATATTGATGGTCTAATGCATGCATTCTTGATTCAGTATGTGTCCCAGTGTTGTTGTCATATGTGAAACAGGATAGTGGGTTGGGATTCACAAAGTCCTATGTGTGTGTGGAAGCAATTGTGAAATGGGCTTGCTGTAAAGGAACAGGCCCATTGAAACCCCTGGAAGTTGAGAAGACGTGTGAACATGGAGAGTGGGGGAGTTAAGTTCAAGAAGTGGGCATCCGAGAAATCCGCACCACTCTCTGCTGTAAACCCTAAATCTTCTCGCATTCAAAAAGGCGACTCACCGAGAAAGACATCAATGGTGAGAGGAACTCGCAGAGGGCTAATTGGTAACCGATCCAAGGCTAAGATGACGCATGCAGATGGTGATGCTCAAAGGCCTCATCTCATCGATGAGCACAGCGGTGATGACTCGAAATCCACTGAAGCAGTCCCTGACCAGACTCTTGTCGCAGGTGCTGATACGGCGGATAGTGCTGGTTCTTTTGCCACAGCAGATGATGGCGATGCTCGGAGTGGTTCGTCGGCGAATTCTTCGAAGCAGGTCGGTGACGGAGGAAACAAGAATGTTTCGGAGGCTACCCAGAAGATTGACAGTGACGAAGGCGAAGCTGATGGTGCTGAGAGCAAACAGTCGCTTGAAGCAACTCATTCTGTCCCACAACATGCACCGACTCCAACAGATGCTCCGATTCTGGTCGGAACGGCTCAAGAAGAGGGAACAGCCTCTGCTGCTGAGGCATCTCCTACCTCGATCTCCGTAAGCGCGCAAGCAGCAAAGGTGGAACGCAAACGAAAGACGCTGCGTGCTTTGGGACTTCCAGCTCCGAAGAAACGCAGACGAGATTCGTCCCCTGTTCCAGAAGCAGAACCGGAGCCTGCAACAGAGTCCGTACCACCACAACGGACCAAAAAGACTCGGTCTCGGAAAGCACAGGCATCTCCTGATCAGGCGAGGTCTGTCCACTTTGCTACACGACAACTTTGGTGTGAAAGGACTGTTGATGTAGGTGAAGCTGATGAATGGGGGTACCTTAAGATCATTCGAGACAGCGGTTTGGAATCGACGGTTGTGGGACTCACTCCGTACGTCCCACAGGTGATTCAGGAATTCTATGCTGGGCTTCCGGGTGAGCTAGTCTCTGATCTTGATCGGGAGATTCGAGTTAAGCTAAGGGGTTTTGAGTACTGCTTTTCTGCTGATTGGATCAATCGGGTACTCAATCTGACTCCACTCACTGAGGCCGAGGTTCACGAAGAATCGGTTGCTGACGCAGTCTCCCTGTCTGAAGTTGCCAAGCACTTGTCGAAGGGAGGAAGTGGTTGGAGTGGTTTGAGCACGAGGAATCTTCCACCGGTCTTTGCAGCGCTGATTGTCATTGCTGCATACAACTGGATTCTCTCCACCAACAAGCATCACATCTCTGAGGAGCGAGCTCGGTTGTTGTACAAGCTGAGTCATGGTGTAAGGGTGGACTTTGGAAGACTTGCTTTCAGACAGATTCTTCTCATGAGCAAGATCATCAAGAAGGACACTCGGTGGTTGCTGTTTCCGTGTCTGATACAGAGGATTCTGAACATTCAGCACGAACCTCAGATTGGTCAGGGGGAGACTCACATTGTACATGCTCGTTACAAGAAGGACTCCCGCAGTGGTGAGGAATTTGTTAAGAAAGAGGCTGCAGCTGCTAAGAAGGATAAAAGAAAAGGGAAGCAAAAGGCGGGTGTGTCGAAATCTCCAACTCCGCCACCCAAGTCGCCTCAGCAACAACCTGCATCATCACCAGGTGTACCCCTTCGGTCATTTCGTGGGCCACCTCCTGACGCATCCTTCCGGCCATCCGATTCTGCACCAGGTCGAACTCAGAGTGCTCCTCTCGGAGTAATTCGGGTTCCGTTGGCACCAGCCAATGCGAATGAGGTCACCTTGGCCCTGCGTGATGTGAGTCGCGCGCTGAACCATCTTCACGGGATAGTCAACATGGTGATTGACTCGTTTGCAAGTAAGTTTTCTGACTCCTTCTTGTATCTTTCTTTGGATATTCATCTTTGTTTTTACCTTCGGTGCTCACAAGCAGGGGGAGAAAACAGGTGGGAAGAAATTTCAAGAGATGAGGCAGGAGATGATGTGGGTGCTTAGTTTGTGGGGGAGCATGTGTGTTTTTGCTCTAAAAACTTCTGTTGGTTTGCTTGTTTTAAAGACTATGTGACTTTGACGTTTCTTTTATGGAATGCGTTTTGGTACTTGTCTTGGTACTTGTTTTGTTTGTGGTTGTTTGCGTGGTATGTTTTTGAAACAGGTGCTTGTGAGGCACACGAAGCTAAAAAGGGGGAGATTGAAGATGTAGCTGTGCTTGATGCAGTTGCTGTACCAGATGAAGTGAAGAATGAACTGCCACAAGCATAGAGTACGTGACGAGTGAAGTTCTCGAAACGAGGAATCAGATGAGCAGCTGAGTTGGACTAGAAGAAATGGAAGTCTTGAAGAAAAAGCAAAGCTGAATGGAAATGATGGAGCGGATCAGGAAGAATGGAAGATTTCCTTAAACAAGCAAAAGTTTAAGGAAATAGGAAATATACATCAAGCAACAAAATGGAAGCTGGGATGTAGGGTTTTTGGCATGTAGAGCCGCTGAGTTTACTAGGTATAAGTAGACGTGTTGAAGCCTTGTAGAAGCTTAACACAACTACTAGAGAGCACTTAGCATAAGGGTGTGAGATTAAGAAGAGAGAGTCTGCATCAAGGGTTAAGGGGTTTTTTAGGGGTGTTCTGAGATCAAGTATCGATCGAAGAACAGAGTGAGCTAGGGAGACAGATCAAGGCGTGTCTTGAGTCTGTACTAAATCGTGTTACATCTTGTAAGGTGTGTTAACAGATTTACTAGCAATAAAGTTAAAGTTGAAAGAAAAATCCTGTGTTAAGTTGTGTTGTTGTTCTTGATAAGTGGCTCTTGCGTTTTCACAGGTCGATGCTCCATCTACAATTACATAATAGATGTTTGTTAAGGGATAATAGTTTTCTACTCGTTTTTATTACAAATTCAACATAGCTGGTTTAGATAATATTTCGACCAATTGCTTGAGCTAGAGCTGATTATGGAAGTCGAAAGAACAATAACAAAGCCGTTTTGTAGCATGTGATACTCGATTGTAAGAAATCTACTTTTTTAGTTGATAAACACTTCTCCTGCATTGAGTAATTGCAAATGTACGTGATATTTATTTGTTTATTATGTTAACTGTTCTGTATATGACATATTCAATTCATAAAAATGCTAAAGATGCTTTTGTTGTAAGAAAATAATAGTCTAATCATCTAGTTGAGCACTCTAAATCATTTCGGTTATGCATTACTTCTTTTGTTTATTCAATATCAACACGAGCGAGTTTACGTATATCTACGTGGAAGTTTCCTTGAAGTCAAAAAGTACTCAAGTCTCAAGTCGTAAGAGGCCAACAAGAGACTCCAACCAAATATTCAAATAAACTAAACACAACGTTTAGCACTCGGTTCAACTTTTATTAATGTACAATCATTAAATTAATCATATAACACATCATTTATATAAAGGCATCAACAAAACACTCTCACTTCACAATTAACACAAACAACAACAATCTCAACCTCTTCATCTTCTTATCATCTCCCTCCAAGAAACCACTTTTCAACTTCGTTACTTCAACACACCAAAAAAAAAGATAATCCAAGAAATGGAGATGCTAAGAAGCCTAAGCACGAGGAAAATAAGCCGTCCTGGTGTATACGATGAGTCAACGTTTAGTTTACTCGGAGCAAAGTTGAAGAGGTCAACGAGCGTTCCTTACTACGCACCGTCGATAAGGCTTGGAGGAGGAGGTCCGGCGATTTTGGAAGAGCTTCCGCGCCAGAAGTCAAAGAAAACTACGGCGACGGGAAAGTTTAGCCACCCAATATTTAGTTTATTCGACGGTCGCCGCCGCAACAACAAGAAGAAAGCGACGGCTAAACCGGAGTTCTCTAGGTATGCTGAGTACCTTAGAGAAGGTGGTATGTGGGATTCAAGATCTAATACTCCTATCATCTACTTCAAGTAGATCTAGTTTTTTTATATGTTGTTCTTTCAATTGTTTGAGTTGTAATTTCATAAAATTTTATATCAATATATATATATATATATATAATCATTCGTTCTTTTATATTTAGAAATCTTATTGGTGAGATGACTAATGATTGTTAGAACAATGTTATGACTATTTTATTTGAACATTGATTTGGGATAACAAGTCTATTTTTTGTACTATTATTTGATATATTAGACGACGGTCTCTCCACTTGCAAATATGAGGTATACAGTATATCGTATACTTGACCCATGTAGTAACGTATTTCATAAAATTTTATATCAATATATAATCATGGGACATTTATTACAATAATCCTAAAAATATGAGAAATAGCTTAAATAACCTATAAAAAATTAACATATTTTTAAGACATTTTTCCTAAATTACCCTTATAATAAGTTACTTATTACAAATGTACCAACACTTATAACTAAACGAATTAATATATCTAACTAAAAGAAAAAAACGGAAAATAAATTAAAAAAGAAAATCCAATCAACTAAAATAAAATTTACATTAAAAAAAAAATCAAAACACTAATATAAAAGGAAAACATCCTTTTTTTTAAAAAAAAAAGGAAATCCACTTTTGAAAAACCCTTCTGATGGTTTCATCTTCTTCATGAGCCCTTTTATAATTTAACTATTAAATCTACTAAACAACAAAGGTATCAACAATCAAACTTATTACTCTCCAACTAAAATCATAAATTAACTTGTATTTTTTTTTTCTGTGTCAGGATTGATTATGTTTCTAGGTTTCTCAAATTGTGTATTTTATTTCTAATACTATTTTTTTTTTTGTAGGTACTCACTTTAAATCTTACAAACCATGGTTAAAAAGGAACAAAATCATCATCTCCTCAGTTTTTAGAATTCAAAGTTCATGAAGATTTTTAGAATTCAAAGTTCATGAAGATTTATGTAACTAAAACCATCTTTGTAGAAGATGAAACACATGTGAACTCTACCACGTTTTAGCAGACTTGATCTACATATTTTGATAGATTTCATAAGTAGACTTAAGTAAAGTTTATAAACAATCTGTAGACTTGCATAAAATCCACAAGTTTTTTGGCAGACTTCTATAGCCAATTTTGCAGACTCATATTTAGTCCTTGGACACTCGCAGATTCATATGAAGTCTACACAAGTTTTGGGTAGACTTTAAAATCTGATCCTGCAGACTGATTACAAGTTTGTCGACACTTGACAGACATTCGTGAAGTTTACATGTTTTCATAAGACTTCAAAAGCCCATCCCGCAGACTTACTTTTGGTTTGCTGAAGATCGGCAGACTTGCGTAGAGTCTATGTAATTTGAACAGACTTTAAAGCTCGGGTCGGCAGACTTGCATAATGTTCTCATGGTTTTGGTAGATTTAAAAGTTCTCTCTGCAAACTTGCGAGCAGTCTGGTTGATAGGATCTTTAAATATGCTAAAAATGTGCAGGCTATAGGAAAGTCTATCGAATTTTTGCAGACTAACTACAAGTCTATTGAATTTTTGCAGACTAACTACAAGTCTGCCAGCTCGGATTTTAAAGTCTGGCAAAAACATGTAGATTTCACGCAAGTCTACCGAGCATTTCCAGATTCAAAGTAAGTTTGTCTGATTGGTTTTTGTAGTCAGCCAAATATGTGTAGACTTCACGCATGTCAGCTGAGTGTTTTGCAGGCTTCTAATATATCTGTTAAAATTCGATTTTGAAGTCTACTGAAAACATTTAGACTTCATATAAGTCTACCAATTTTTTTTGCAGACAAAACATATTGGGTATTGTCATCTACCGAGAACCTGTGGACTTTATATGTCGGCGGACAAAATATGAGTCTGCCAAATCGTTATCTAAAGTCTGCCAAATAATTGTATAGGGAAAAACCCCAAAAAATACACCAATTATATAAAATTCGGAAGAAAAATACACAAACTATTTTGACTCCTTAAAAAATACATGAACTATTAATTGTTGTATGTTTAATACTCAAATTATTCATCACTTGTTCTTTAATACGTAAACTATTAAATTTCGTGTATCTTACACAATTTTTATGTGAAAATACAGTTTTACCCTCTTTTAATTTCAAAATTCGATTTTCCTCTTTAATTTATTTATTTTTTATCAGAAATTCTTTATTTTATTTAATAATAATTTTTTTTTTAAAACAAGAACAAAAAAAAATATCCTTCGTCTTTCTCCTCCGTCGAAACCCCTTCTTCTTCCCTCTCCTCCTTCAAATCCATCAACAATTGAGACCATATCTCTCACTATTTTCTACTCTCTTCCAAATGGGTCTTCTAAATTTGCCTTCCATTTCTTCTTCTTCGCCACCACACCATCGAATCTCCTCTCCAGCTTCCCACTTGCGACAAATTCGACCGGTCATGCGCCCGCGACAGGCTGTATTTGTTTCTCGACATAATTGACAACGAGATTATGTCCAATCCGAAAGAATTGAGTTTTTTCTTCGTAGAGAAACTGGGATTATGGGTCCGATGATTGGCAGAGCTAAAATCGAGTTTCTGGAAGACGAAATCACGGTTGTGATTCGGAGCCTACGGAGTCGGTGATTCACGAGTTTTTATCTTTCACACATTATACCATGTTTTTGTTATTCGGGTTTGAAGATGAATCAGAGTAAAGGAATCGACAACACGAAGAAGCAATTGGGAAGGTTTCATTGCGATTTGCGACCGAAGCTTTCATATCAGCAGTTCAATTTACATGAACGCCACCATAAACAACCCGTTATTCACTCATGTTCTTCTTTGCCAACTGTATTTCGTCGTCGGAGATTCCGAATCAGCGTAGCGTATTTGTTGAAGCCGGTGACGACCAGATCAATATTCTGTCAATACGTCTAAATTAATCTATTTTTATTTTATTTCATAAACTATTAATTTTTTCTAAACAATATAAATTGAATTTAAAAAATAAAGGAGGATAAAGTTGGATTTTTATAATATAAATGTTGTCACAACGTGTAAAATACACGAAATTTAATAGTTCGTGTATTAAAGAAAAAGTGATGAATAATTTGCGTATTAAACATACAACGATTAATAGTTCATGTATTATTTAGGGAGTCAAAATAATTTGTGTATTTTTCTTCCAAATTTTTAATAATTGGTGTATTTTTCGGATTTTTTCCCTAATTGTATATTTTATGCTATTCTCATTTGTTTTTTTATGGTTTACTATTTTGCTGGAAATTGGTGAAGTTCATTAAAAAAAAGGAACCCTTGATGAAACTAGTGCAGATGAGGAAAAAACTGGTACTATTCTGATTCTTCATAAATCTCAGCCGCAGCAAGTTCATGGCACTATCAATTGACATCTAAATAAGAACAAGTTTTTAAGATATTAAAATTCTATTGAAAACATGAATATAAAGTACATATCAAACGTAGCAATAATAGCCAGTCTTGTGGAGTTCGAATAACTTTAAAAAAACTCTACATCATTGTTCTGGGAGCCAATTGAATATTCCCTGAATAGATACATTATATAACTAAAAATCTATTTATTATCAGGACTAGTGACTGGAAAAATTAGAAACAAATAACTTACTCGTCTAATTGCAACCAATCGTCCAAATCTTAATTTTCTGCACAATCATGAAGCGAATGGATCGTAACTTTGCAAATATTATATTTAATTTAGGGTTTAACTTAGAGATATCATTAATTCCTTTTTTGAAAAAATATGATTTGATTTTCAATATTAAAACGAATTTGCAATTAAATAATAATGATAATGATAAAGGTAATTTAAGAGTTACAATCATTTAAAATTGATTAGTAGGTTATCTGGATAAAAAAATATATCATGGATTATTCTACCCATTATTTAAGAAAAAAATAGGTTATTTTAAGTAATTTTTTCTATAATCATTCGTTCTTTTATTTCGAGAAATCTTGTTGGCGAGATGACTAATGATTGTTAGAACAATGTAATATCTATTTTATTTTGAACATTCCTTGGGGATAAACTAGACTAAGTTTTGTTCTAGTTCTATTTGATCTATTAGTCGACAGTCTCTCCACTTGCTATGGGGTAATATAGTAGTATACCGTACACCCATGTAGTTGAATGTACATGATCGTTTGTCTCGGATTAGTTTCATTTTAATCATTTTTCCCTTTTTGTCTGCAATGTAGAATATGAGGGAGAAAAAGAGAGAAAAAAACATTACAGTTAACTTAGAAAGACAACAAATAGAAAAGCGCACTACGCTTTAAGATACGGAACACAAGTCAAAGCCTGAATCCTGACATAAAAAGCAACGTATTCGCTTGTACACAAAGCTGACGAATTCAAGATGAGTGCAATCTAGGAATCTCTCTCTCTCTCTTTCCTTTTTAAAAGGATACAAACAGTCTAAATATCAAAAACAAGGGGGGGCTAAGATGGTAAAAAGGCACAAAGGGGAGGGAGATGATTGCAAACTTTCCATATGACCTTTTCCCGATCACAAGGACGTAATCTGAAGCTGGTTTTAGGACGGCACTGGCACAACGAAGAGAAAGAAGAACCATCGTCAGTATCAAAACCAGACAAAACTTATGCGTAGTTGGTACAAAGGTTCACACTTACTGTATGTAGAAGTATCAAGCTGCTCAGGAAGTTCCTTAATATCAACCTCAAACCTCTCTTGTACCTGTCCACATTTACAATTGGCACTTTAGTTAATATACCCTTATCAAGCAGAGGATGGATGTGTATGGACTTCAATTAAATTAAACTCCAAACCTGATTAAGAACGTCTGAATCTGAGGTTGACGCCACAAAGGTGATTGCAAGACCCTTTGTTCCAAATCTACCAGCTCTTCCAACCTATTTTTATATACAGGGTGCAAAAGTTCACGATCATGAGAATCAATAATCTATGTCCGATATCAGGATTTTATCTATGAGTAAGAAGAATACTTACCCTGTGAAGATATGTATCAGCAGAGTCTGGCATGTCGTAGTTGATAACAATGTTGACACGCTCAATGTCAATGCCTCTTCCTACCAAGTCCGTAGCCACCAGAATTCTCTTGTGCCCCTCCTTGAAACTTTTGTAGTGAGTCAACCTGCATATTCGATCATAGTATTCTTTAAAATTGGTATCTATGCGGAGGCTTTAAGAGCAAATTCAGGGTGTTTCAGTAGGATAATGTTTTGAAAAATTATACAAACCTCTCTTCCTGAGACATGCCAGAGTGAATGCATATAGAGGGAAAATTGCACTCAACAAGCAACTTGTTCAGCTCCTTAGCTCTGTTCACGCTCTTCACAAATATGACAACTTGATTAAAGTCTAATGCATCGAGAAGGTCATTCAACTTGCGGTTTTTCTCCAACTCATTCAGTTTGATGTAGTGCTGTGAACAACGAAAAGACATAAAAATGTTCAAGCAGTCAATAATAATAACTCATATAAACCAATATGAAAGATAAGAAGATATCACACTCGTAAATACCTGGACAAGCCCATGAAGAGTCAATTTGGCTTCATCATCAACATATATTTCCATTGGCTGAAAGGAAGAGATCACAGAATAAAGTGTATTAGCAAGGCTTCCTCAGGCAATGATTTCCAGTACAAAATTGACGACGGATGAAGGACCCCCGACTGAGATCCTCGTCCACCAGGTTTGCATCCTCAAAGATGTGAGTTTCTTCATGAAACATTGAAACATCAATATCGCTCGGGAACATAAGGCCCGACAAACTGAGTACGATGAAACCTTGAGACCTCACTACGCCCCGACTCAAAACTCACCCCAGCACTGTTAGCAATCCAAGTAAAAAGAAAAACACAATGGTGATAGAAGATCCCACTACATCACTGAACCACACCAAAGCTAATTTACATCTTCAAAGTCACCCAATTTTCCAAACCCCAACAAACTACCTAAGGCTTTAATGGACTGATACCGTGCATCCAGGGATCAAATGACAGGTTTCCAGGACCAGAAGGTGCTTAAATAATCTACGATCTTCCGAAGAAGGCTAGAAATAATTAAAGACTATAGGACTTGTAAACCGAGATAGTATTGGCCGTGGGACATTACATCTTGCATAAATTTCTTGCAGACAGGGCGTATCTCTTTGCTGAGCGTTGCTGAGAACATCATAACTTGTTTGTCGTGAGGAGTCATCTTGAAAATCTCTTGAACATCCCTCCGCATGTCTGTTAGAGAAGAGTCACAAATGTTAAAACAGGCAATAATTTCAGAGGCAGGTAAAACGTCTTTATACACAAGGATGTTAGAGATCCACATACCAAGCGACTCGAGCATTTTATCACACTCGTCAAGAATAAAATGCCTCACATTCTTCAAGGAGAGATATTTTTCCCTGGCGAGTGCAAGCACCCGACCAGGTGTTCCAACAACAATGTGAGGACATTCATTCTTCAGCAAGTCTTTGTGCACTTTAATGTTGACTCCACCGTAGAACACCGAAACCTTTGTATCAGGCAGATAGGTACTGAATCGCATGAACTCATTGCAGATCTGCAAGTAATTTTCAGGGTCAAGGCGTGAGAAAACGTGGGGACAGACAACATAACTATCAGAGCCGAGAACCTGACTTGAAGAAAATTAAAAGGAAATACCTGGTAAGCTAACTCTCTTGTATGGCACAAGACAAGTGCAGAAACTTGTCCAGGAGATGGTTCGATCTGTTGCAGAGTAGACAGAACAAACACAGCAGTCTTTCCCATACCAGATTTTGCTTGGCAGATAACATCCATTCCCAAGATAGCTTGAGGGATACATTCATGTTGCACTGGTGGAGAAGCAAAGAAAATCGCAGCGAAGGAAGCCTTTATAAGTAGAATACAACCTCCATATGTTTTTTAATTGGTGGCTAAACCAAATGCTAAGCTCACTCCAAATCAACAGATTGAAATAGCGTTTATTTACCTGGAAAAATCAACCAGTGAAATGTCAATTGACATAGCAATTATAACAAAAACAAAAAATATCTCTAGCCACCTAAACAGGACAGCAAATCTGTGTTCAAACTTAGTGGGGTGATTAAATTCCAACAACAGATGTACAACAATAAAGCTTGTAAGAGACAAAGGTACCACACGAAGTGTTACAATTTTGAGTGTAATATTATGCTATATCAAGTTAATCACCATTAGAGTATGCAATATCAACAAAAACAAGTCAAGCTAAAAGCTCAGAAACAAAGAAATGTACTTGCCTTCAGATGGATGCTCAAATCCTGAGTCAACAATAGCTCGAAGAAGCTCCGGTTTCAAAAGGAAGTCTCTGAATCCAGAACTGTGTATTCCCACGTATCCTCTGAGACAAAGAAAAATAAAACAATTAGTTTATAGCAGCTTTTGCAATAAAGAACCCAACATATTACTACACGACTAATTAATTAAACCTTGGTAATCACACAACAACCTTAAATTTAAACAGCCAGTGTTGTCATGAAACAGATCGAGAAAACAAAAATAAGACTCACTTCTTGACGGCTTCGCCGTTAACTTTAGTTGCAGAATCAAGGACCTTCTCGTCCTCTTCCTCATAGTCCAGAAGCTCCTCCTCATAGGCTTCGTTGTCTCTAGCGTCTCCCATACTTGACAAGTTCTAGAACAAAAGAAAAAAAAATTCAGATCAAGTTCGTAATCCAAATCACAAAACCCTTAGGGTTAGGGGAGAAACTTGAATAGTTATTTGCAAATAGCGTTCTCAAACCCTAAGCATGCATAATTTGCTAAGAATCAGTGAGATCTGACGGATTTAGAGTGAGAGGAGATACCTGAGAACTGAACGGAGTTGGCTAGATCGCAATATCGAATTAGGGTTACCAAATCTCTGATTGTAGAAGACAACTAAAGAAAGAGGAAAATATCAGAGCTACGGTATATGTAGTGGGACTGGATAGGGTTGAACCGAGTATAAACTGGGCTTTATTAATATGGGCCTACACATCAATGAAGCCTGGCCCAACCCATTCAAATCATTTCCATTTTGTGAAATGGACAGAGAGGACATTTCAGTCAGAGCTTCCTTTTGAAACCAAGATTGCAAGTACTGTATTACCGACGTGAGTAAATACTGCTTTAATTTTTGGTTGCAAGTTTCTTGAACACAATGTTGTCAGTGTACTCACGTATTCTAAGAAACATTCTCAAATCTTCATAAATAAACTCTTAGTTTTAGATATGAATAATAATCATATGATACATGGTACATATAGTATGGTTACTGAAACATTATTAAAGTATGGTGCTCTTGGATAGATGTGGAGAAAACAGAAAATTTGATTCATCTAATAGTATCAGAGTGATGCACATTTTTCATATTTCTGTATCCTGAAAATAGTAGTAGTTTGTGACTGTGAAGGAATGTAAGTGCAGCTCTTATTTTGTTAAATTAAGTTCATGTGTGATTTATTTTTGCGTGAATGTGATCTCCATGAGTAGCGAACGTAGCTTTCCTGTATTCTGCAAGTGCCCACAATGGGAAGGTGTTTCTGTATGTAGCATAGTGTAGCATGCAATTATTCATGAACGCTCCTGTCATCTCCTGCACACACACATGACAGAAAGAGAGAAATAAACACACGGTTAATTATCCATTCATTAAGCTTGTTATAGTGGAGAAAAGTGATTAACACTAACAAAGATAAAAAGAAAATATTTTGTATAAATTAACAGTAACATAGATAGCTTGAACTGATTTTGTTATAGAGTGTGAACTGGTTTATAAGCATTAACAGAGAGACAAAATCAAAGATCTTAGACCCTTGGTGATACTGTTTGTAGAGCACTCTAAATTTGTTTAATTATTTACTACTTGAGTTAACTTATTGAAAGACAAAAACCTAATATCAACTAAGACCAACAGTGCAAGAAAGGAAACAGAGATTAGTATCTCTATCAATGAAAACGTCAGAAACTAACCTGTTGTGGAAAATCCCCATTTTCCATTTGCGAAGTGATGATAAATTTCGCAGCACGGTGAAGAGGTATAAAATCTCTCTCAGCCTGTTGTGTATATCACAAACAATAGGTTTCAAGACTGAAAATTGAGAAAAAAAAAAAATGCAAATGTAAGATTGAAAAGTGAACCTGTCCCCCGTGAATCAAACCCATCATAGCCCATGCGGTTTGCACTATGTTTGATCCATTCCTTTCTAGTGGTATGTATCTCTGCATATAAACCATATTAAAAAGATGAAAACTTATTCAAAATTTTTGTGTTGAATCATAAAAATACCTGTTCGGGGCATGAGAGATAGCTCTCCCCCCAGCCTCCATCTTCATTCTGTATTGTAAGCAGAAAATCTACACCGTTGCAAATAGATAAACAGTTGTTGTACGTTTTACCAATCGCTGCTAGGCCGCTAAGAGCAAACCATGTGCCATAAATGAAACAAATACCCCAGTTTCCGTACCTACCCATTACTCAAAACGAAAACTATTTTGTTAGAGCTTTTTGGGACCACGTTTATTAAACGTTTCTTTAATTTACAATAAACTAGCATACCATGAACCATCTGGCATTTGTTTGCTTTCTATGAATTGCACCGCTTTCTTGATCGACTTGATGACCTCTTTTTCCCTGTGATCCGGATACAGTTGTTTGAACATAACAAAAGCTTGTATAACAGCTGAGGTACATTCCACGCACTCACCCTCGACCATAACGTTAGCAAAAAAATCTGTGGGATTCAGCAACTGCGACACCAATTTAAAATGTTACATTTTAGAAGGATTCTCTTCTTGAACAACTTTCAACTTTGCAACAATTAATTAAAAAAACATCCAACATATATGTTTTAGCTCTTACTTCCAACCATTCAGGTGCGCTGGCCGGTTCCCATGCAGTCAAGCCTCCATTTTCACTCTATATCAAATGAAGCCATATTTAGTTACTTAAGAGAAAGTAAATTTTTGAAAACATTAGGCTTGTATATATGAACTCACCTGTAAAGATAACAAGAGATTAACAGAATCGTATAGATGTTCAGGATCTATTTTCTGGCCAACGAGATCAGCTGGCATCATTGAGAGCAACATGCAACACTACAAAACCAGATAGGTACATGTGAAATCTTGGGACAAATCTTGTGGAAACTTCAACAACTAATTTGGTTAATTACCTTCAGAGCTTCAGCTGTACAATCTGAAACTTGCCATCCATGATCTCGATCAGAAAAAGTCCATGCTCCTTTGGAAATATGGCGATGCATTGTCTTAAAGTCACCTGAAGGGTTCTCTCTAACCTACAAAGTTTTTTGATTTAAAAACATTCAATTGCTCCATAAAGTAATTCAAGATAAAAGACTATCTGAACAAGGATATCAAACCTGAGATCTTTTTATGTAAGTGTGTCCTCTCCTGAGCACCTCATAGGTTTCATCACCGAGATCACTGGCAAGTAAAGCCTGAATTGCAAACCCTGTCTCCCAAAGCTGACTTCCAAAGCTCTGCGTAAATTTGAATTGCTTTATAAATTGCCTTATCAAATCTCTTGGAGATACACCTACTTTTAACTTTTAAGCTAGCTTTTGCGGTGAGTTCTACTCCTAGGTCTTTTATCAGGCTTTGGTTAAGGACCTAGTATAGGATAGGTTCGTATCAGGATTTACTTAAATATCTTATTTAATTTACCTGCATTTTTAGCCCATCTTCAGCTACCCACATGTAGTCCGAAAGTCTAGAGAGATGTTTCTTGAAGTGATCCCCAACCGGGTTTTCAACCCAGCAAGCAAGCATGCACAGAACCTGCATAGAATTTTCAACATGTAAACGTTTTCCAAAGTACAGTTTTAAAAAAGTTTGCTAAATGTTTTACCTTCTCAATACATCCAATGGTGATATAGTGGCTATTTTCGTCCTCATAATGTATGTGATTCATAGCCACCCGGAGAGCCTTTTCTCTGACAAGCTTGTTTAACGGCCATCTTGTAAGGAAAGGCTCCACGAACATGTGGAGAGTGTCCCATATCAAATCTTGAACCAGAGGATGTGGATAATATGTGTCTTCCTGAAATGGTTAAATGATGTAAAGTTTACAGATTCTATCCATGGTAGAGAAATTTAAAGCTTAAAAAAACGGTCAAACATGCCTTTCCACATAAACGCCGCGCTTTATTCCAGTTAATTTCTTCATAAGGTTGTAAATGGAGTTCTTCACGCAATTGCATGATAAGAGGTGTAACTGGACCAACAAATCTTTTGCCATATAGATAAGACATGGGCATATAAACCATCCTCGTATAGCACAAAAGCTTTCCTGCATTTTTCGCGTCAAGGCAGAAAAATTTACAACAATAATCTACAAACACAAAGGTACAGAACACACCTAGATGTAGTGGAAGGAAAGAAGGTAGCAACCACATCTCGGGAGGCATTGGGTTGGTTCCAGACCAATCATAGATTCCAAGTATCTACATATATAAAGAAAAAAATGTTGATGAGTAATGTTCAAACATATCTCAGCTAAATTAACATATGATCCATTAGCTTTACCGAGAGCCAAACTTTTCCCCAAGAAGGAATATAAGTCACACCACCATGGTTAAGAATCCATTCCCTAGCCCGTTTACACGAGTTTTCTCTTCCTCCATCGAGACCTACTCCGAGCATACGCAAGCATATGTAATTCAGAGCGGTGCTGAACATGACGCTCTTGCTCTCAATGTGTAATCCCCATCCACCATCTTCGTTCTGCAGATTAATTAAGACACAGAGTCTCAAGATTTCTATAACTAAAGATCACTAAGTCAAGGCTTTTCTGTGAAATCCAAAAAGCCTAGCTGAAAAGTACCTGGTGACAATAGATATATCGAAGAATCTCTTTGCGATGCTCTGCATCGAACACCTCTTCCAAGTGTCCTGTGATGTATAAACAAAACACCTGCAGAAAATCGTCTCCGTTTCATTTCTTCCTCTTCGTACTTATCCCTTTATTGCACACAATTTCTCCTTATTTTCTATTTCTAGGTGTCCTAAATCTCTGAATCTAACCCTACGAGTATTCATCGATAGACATAACAGAAGGAAGAAATTTGATAGTATCGAGAAAGGCACTTACCAACGGAGGGAGGAAGAAGAGAGGTCCGGCGATTTCTGCTGGCCAGTGGCCGTCGGAGGATTGCAAAGCCGAGAAGAAAGCGACGCCTCTCCGTAAAGCATTCGTCGTTTTTACGTATGTGATACTTTCGCCGTCGTCGAACTTCACCGGCGGAATCACTTGCTCGAATTTCGCCTCTTTTAAAAACTGTGCGTATACAATTAAACCCAAATGAAAAATGCCAGACAAATATGTATAAAAAAAACATATTATTTTGTAGATGAAATTTTTAATATCTAGTCAATATCTAGTACTTTTTTATTCAAAAAAAAAAAATATTGTATTTTGTATTCTCCTGCAGAGATATTTGCGTTGGGACATCACTTTTTCAAAGTTTCAATTATCATTTGACACTATTCTTTTGTTTTTTGCCCGTATTCGGCATAAATACTATTTTGCTCCCCTTTCTACGTACCTGTATACACAGACATACATAGTATTTTGTACAAAGGCAAAATGGTTCCAGATAAATAATATTTGGTTTTCTTGTACAAAATGTCTGATTTTGATGAAATTTTTAAAAGGATTTTTTTAAACTAAGTTTTTTTTTAAATTTTTACCAAAGTTGGTAATCCCTCTAGACACAAAATATTAGTTTCGTCACAAACCTAACTCGATTATGTGCATTTGTAAGACCATATCTCTAATTAAAGTAAGTTTCACATTATTTATGCATTTGCAAGACCACATTTCTAACTTTGCGCCTAATTCCACTGCAAATGGAATAATAGAGTAAAATATCTCATATTTCAATTTGCGTAACGTTGTTAATATCTATTATATTAAAATATAAGCATTTTTAGTATTTGTTTCCAAACATTCTTAAAGTTTTTTTAAAAATATTTATATATATATATAAATTTAATTCCGAAAATTATATATTGATTTAGATACCTAAAAATTTCCTTAAATATAGGTTATATCTATAATCTATAGATATTAATTTACATAGACTTCCTTAAATATATGTTAGATTTAATTTAACATTTGAAATTTAAATAAGATTTTCAAAATAACACATATGATTAACAAATATCTTATTATATTTTTTCAATCATATTCTATCAGATTAAAATTTCACATATTGAAAATAGATAAATATTAATATTATATAATAATTTGATGGGATAAGTTAAGTTTTTTTTTTATAATTATGCTCTTATGCGTGTTAGGTTATCAAACCATGCAAGATATTAGGAGAATATTATTTCAAAATTAGTAAATATTTATATTATAAAGGGTGGGTTAGAATTATGATTTCATAATCATGGTCTTTTTCGGATTAATAAAATGAACGAGTTAGAAATATATTTTTATAATAACTGTCACTTTTTGATTAATAAAATAACTGGTTTAAATTATGTTTTTATGATCATGGTAGTCATAATAATACTGGAAAAAAAGAAAAAAAATTATATCTGAACACAAATTTTTTTATATCACTTATTAAAAAATTATATTTACAAAGAAAATATAAATTAGATTATAAATTTTGATTAAAACAAAATTTCTGTGCGGATGCACGGGTTAAAATCTAGTTCCTATTTAAAAGTTAAACTGTACACAAATTATGAATGTCTTCTTTTTTTTTTGGCTAAAGTTAACTTAGTATAGATAAGTATCCATGACTGAAAATCAATATTAAAAAACTATAAATTTAGACAAGGTGGAGAACCACTATATATATTACAATCTATTTAGATTTTCAGGCGTTATCTTTGTCACGATTAGTAAATAAAGCTCAATGGTGAAAGAAAGAAAAAACTTACTTGCATTCGCCACAAGAGATCACTAGAAGCTTTAACACGAGAACGGTTGTCATAGAAACTCCGGCGAGCTTCCTCTACAGCGGCTCGTTCCTCCGGTGTGCCAGCTTTGGGATCAAACTCCCATATTTGACGTCCGGTGAAGTTGTTGCTGCTGAATAAATACGGATCTTCTCCATTTCCCTCTCCTGTCTTCAACTTCCACATAACAAAGATCCTATATATGCATATATACTGAGTTTAAAACTTTCATGCAAATGTTGTGTAATGATAGATAATACGTAGTGTTGTTTACATGAGTTAAGGTATACACTATACAGTATATATATAAATCAAGGTTACATATATTATGATTTTATATTTTTGTATACTAAAATTAAAGAGCCCTCTTGTAATAAAGAAGAAATAAAGAGCTAGATAGAGAGAGGGAGGGGAGGCTACTTCTCTTGGGTCGATAGTTGTTGGGCAGTAGACGATTTAGAGCATAATTAATGCAAGAACCTATAGGAGGTTCTTAATCGATTTTTAATTATTAAATATAGATTAAGAACTCTTAATAAGAAACTCATGTTTTCTATGCTCCAATGGTAGAATCCATTAGGGGTTTTTAAAAAAACAAAAATTTGATTGTGAAGTATTTATTTGTAGGTAAATTCTCATATATTGATTGGATCATCGAAGAAGTGGAATGAGCTTATCTGTTCTCGATTTACGTTGGATATTACTTATTTACGATTTGTTAGAAGCCAACAATCAGAAAACACATCTGTGGCCCCCTTTTTCGTCTAAAAGATTACATTTTTTCAAAACTTGTCATACATGAATACAAATATATACTAAAGTATCATGAAAAAAAGAAACAGATGTAGCAAAACATATGAGATACAAAAAGAGAACAAATATAAAGCAATTCGAAGAATACAATTTGAAGATCCTTAATTCGTGTTTTAGGATAAAAAGAAAGCATTCTTACAAGCATCTCTGGAGCAGTCATACAAATCTTCATAACCTAAAAAATCAAAAGACCTCCACGGTAGAAGAATCAGAACCAACACGCAGAGAAGACGAGAAAACCACATTAGGTTCTTTATAAACACACAGAAACCCAAATGCATACTGATCTAACTCAACCGCATTTTGTTCTTTATTATGTTACCTTTGGAGCTGTGCCTTGATGATGTCGACGAGGTCTTGTGCTGTCACACTGCATGGGAATTTAAAGTTAAGAAGAGGATAGACATGTTTTCCAAGATCATTTAAAATCTGGATTTGCTTAAACATGACTTACGATCCAAATATTTGTTTGCCTTTACCACCCTTGCGTTTAACCTTGAAAGCCCCAACGGTTTCAAATATCATTGCCAGTTGTTGGGCCTCTTCTTTCACCTGAAAAATGGTTTCACGCAAAAGAAAAGAAACAACATACAAAAGTTCTCAGGTAAAACTCTATAACCAAGTAAGCGAGATTTTGGTGAATGATGAGCAAAACAAATTAAACAATCAATGCATTCATCTCAGATTACCCTTTGCTTTTCTGCCTCTATCCGTTCGTCTTCCATCTTCATTTCCCTGGAAAATACAACAAAAAACGTTGAATTTACAAAATGAAGCATTAGTTGTTGATCTCATAACAGTATAACAGAATCAGAGTCATGAGCTGAGCCTTTCTCGTAGGCAACAGGAAGTTTCTGAAAAAACCGGCTTTCACTTCCAGTAGTTGCCCTTGCTTACCCAAGTTTGACACATCCTCTTTCAAGATTACAAACAAGATTTACTCCATTACAAAACTTCCGACCAGAAATCAAATAAACACACTAGGAATCAACCAATCCTTTGTTATTATCTTGGAGCTATTCTCGAGTAACAAAGGTTTCTACTTTGAAATTCCAATCTCTTACAAATTGTACCTTAACATTCAATCTGTGACCGCCAGTTCCAGGCTTTAGATGTTCCACCTTCACAAACACCCAAAATTGCGAATGAATCAAAAGAAACAAAAAAAAAAACCGACGAGTCAGAAAAACAACCTTCAATTCCAAACAAAAAACACTATTTAGAAGAAAAACCCATCTAACCTGAGCGGCTTTCTCGGCGATATTGAGCCCTTCAATTCCAGCTTTGGGCTTGACAGACACGGCCTTGCACACAACATCGGTACACCTCTTGCTCTGTCTATTGAACGCGAGAGCAGCCGGGAGAAAATCGCAAGGAGAAGATACAGAGAAAAGAAAGAACCTCAAGCTCTGATTCATCTTTTCTCTTTGAGTTCACAAAGAGAGCGGATACAGAGAAGAGATTGATTCCCCTCAGCGGCCGGAAGAGATGCAAATCGACGGAGACATCCATGAGTCGAAAAAAAAATTTTGCTCAAAGAAGAAACAACAACAAAATTTTCTTCTCAATTTATTGCTCCAATAACACAATAACACGTGCCCCGTAAAAGTCAAGTCTTAAATAAAAACCGTTTCTTACGTATTCTTTTAGTTTTGATTTAATTTTTACCTAAAAAACCTTTAAAACCCCTTTTAAGATCTCGCGTTGAGGATGGTCATATATAGCGTACTAACTACTGTTTGTGTAAAGCTTTTCTCAAAACAAACAAACAACTACTGTTTGTACTGATGATGTTTGGAAATTTAAAGTCACATAAAGCTGTATATTAACTTGACATGTATTTTTAAGTATTTATACTTTAACTTGCAGTTAAAGCCGAGTATTTGTAAGTCTTCATATGTCTCAAATACTCCCAAAAAATGGTAATGATGTCCCACCTGTCTTGTTCTCCACTCAACTTACAATAATGATGCGAATAGACTCTTTTTTCGTCGGTGAATTTTGCCACAGATTGTAGAGACCACTCAAATCAATGAACATCGTTGCTGATTTTCTTAGGGCTTCACTGCGTTTAGGATGCAGTGGCTGTTTTATAGCCATATTCTTTTTCTATGGTCCTAAATGTACTATAATATCATGATGTACATATATTTTAATTTTCCAAAAGAATTTATTCGGTAGACACGGAGAAAATTGACATTAAGTAGTAGACTAATTAGTAATTATGTGGCCTTACTGGCTAGTGCTATCAAACGGTTTGAACATTTCTACAATCTTCGTCGTTACCGTACCATTACATGAAATTCAACTTGTTATTTTATTGGTCGTGTCGTTAAAATATATATACATTTGGTATTCATATAACTGCATATATATACCACTATATACCACAACAACTGATAATAGAGAACTCCAAATAATATAGATCGCACGGTTATTTATGATAGAAATATAAAATATATTGGAAAAATACCACGTTCTGCATACAGTTAAGTATAAAAGTTAAGAGCATAGCAACAGAGGTATTAGTCCGTTTTCCATCGATGCTTATCCCAAAAAAAATATGTAAATAAACTGAAGAAACGATGCTTATTTGAGACCCATAAGCATTGATGCTTGGAGTATTTAATAATATTTAATAGCTAAGCATTCCAAAATGGGTTGCTCCATTGCTGATGCTCTAAGGCCAAGTAAGGGGGTAACCTCATCCAAAGCCACATTTGGAAATGGTACTAATTATTTATGGTAAAGAAGTTTGTGAATCTTTCCTTCACCAAAGACATACATATCAAGTTATCAACAAATACTTACAAAGACAGTGAATTGAAGATAATTTACCAAAACTGTAAGACATGACATGCGACAGAACATTTGTGTTCTGTTTTTTTATTTAAAATGTGGCAGCTTCGGCCATAGTTTTCCCGTATCGGGAGTCAGTCTTTAGATAAAATTTTCGTTTAGATAACTCTTTTGCCAGAGAAAAATTGAATATGAAACACACAAAAGAAGAAACAACTAACCTGTACTACTGTTGAGATCACCACCATTTGGTTATGAGAATGCATGGTTTTGAAATTAAGGACTTGACAAATGGGAGCTATTACAGACGACTTCTCGACTATGTTTGTTTTGTCTTTAATATATATATTCCACATTTTTTGAAGAAATTAGGTGGGAATGTTATTGTTGTAACATTATATCGTGATGAGACATTAGATAGACATATTTCTTAGACTGTTACCATCCAATAACCACAAACACGTCGTAAATACCATCCACAAAATATATAGTACAATCTGGTTGAGTTCTTTAATCATTTGTCTTTCGCATGGCCAAAAATATAAAGAAAACAAAGCTTAAAAGAAGAAAAATGGTGCTAGAATTGATCTAGAAAGAAAGAATCAACAGGGAAATCTAGAAAATAAGAGTCCAAGGAAATTGCACTCTCTACATAATCCACTTCACCAAAAAAAAAAAAGAAAAAAAAAAAGCAAAAACGTTGCCAAAACGAAAGAAGAGTGATGACGAAACTGATTTAAGTCCTAAGGCATCCTCTAATTAAGAGAAGGAAGTCTGTTAAACCGAAAAAGAAGTAATCCTCAGCTCTTTAATAAATTCACATAAAAATAACAACCTAAGTGTTATCCGTCATAATCTAAGTGTATCCAATAATACTCAACTTTACGTTTCGACTGGTAACCACTAACCACAAAAAAAAAATTGCATTCATTGGGAATTGTCCTTTATCACAAAAATCCAAATGTCTTCCCATGAAGCATTGAAATGAATATATTGTGTAAGAGATCATTCGTCATGTATCAATCAATCAAAAACAAATCTGTTTCTTTCTTTCCTTGTAAATTGCTGGAAGAGATCATCTACCATCAATCAAACAACAACAAATTTAGTAAGTATATATTTAATTGATGTTGCTTTTTATAGAATTGTTTTGATTATATTTACTGGTGGTATTCGTGTGGATAGTCTATCTTGGTTCTTTCTAATCGTGAGTATATATGTCATTTGGGCTCGTACTTATGCAAGGGCTGGACTCAAATATAATACAAAACATTAGATACGATTATAAGAATGTCTAATATTGGTTTCAAAATGTCTTTGGTAAATATATTATAACTTATATATGGGCTCTGAGTGATAATTGCGGATTAGTCATAAGTATTGTACATGGAGAGCTTACTTGCTTAGCAAGCCAACTACCAACCACTTTTCTACAAACTCATGCATGCATGTGATTGGTTTCATCATTCTGCAACTGGCACGTGAAAATCATCAAGAGGATGATTGGTTTCAAATTTCATATTTTTCTTGTAACTATCAATGATATAGATCAAGATCGGCTTGGGGTCTAGCTAGGATTAGAATCTGACTTAATCTCAGTTAGCCAGTTGATAAAAACCATCCGACTAGACGGACTAATCCATAAATAGGTCCATCGAGAAAATCTTGTCTACCAGATTTTCAACTGAGTGATCTAATGTGTAAGTGCGTTTGCAAGGATCTAGGCATGACCATGGTGAGGCGGCTACGGGATTTTAACCGTTGATTATGGTCAATGCCGTAACAACATTTTTTTTTGTCACTAACCCATCTATTTAAACTAAATTTTGACCGGTAGAATAATGGTCCCGTGCCAACACATTTAAAGGCCTAAACAATAAAAAAATTGTGGCCAAACTACCATTTCAAACTTGAACCCATAAATGAACACAAAGTTTTAAAAAATACACACCGACAAAACCCTTGAGCTTTGACCAACTCAACTAATATTATTACCAAACCAAATGGTATAAGTTCAAAAGTTACCACTATAAATGTGGCCTAAGGTCCTTGCTTTTATGCAACTAAAGGAGCTGCCGCTCTGATTTTTTTCCGGGCAAAACAAACTTATTGATTTCAATACCAGGTTACAAAGTCTTTATACATAATTTTTAAAAATAAAAATTATTGATACACAGATAGATAGAAGTAAGTCCCTTCTCCATCCTTGCTACGTACTGAATAGATTCAAGAAATTTGAAAATTTTCTTTGATGGATAGTGCGCTCAAGGCAGCGATGGCTTCATAGTCCGTAGTGTAGTTGATCTGCTGATGACACTTCAAGTGATAATGGAGAGATTAGGCTAGTGAGGATTCAGAACTGCGAAGCCACCACTGCCTAAAGCAAACTATCTCCTAATGGAGATTGGGCTACGACCTAATCAGTTCCAGTTAGGGCCCATTTTTTCAATGGATTGGATCATTAGATAATCAGGATTAAGTTTAATGGGGTTTGAAGCCGAACTCCTTTTAAAGTAGAACTATATTTTATCCTGTGTATTCGCACGAGAAATTTATCAAATTTTGTAATGTAATTTATGATTTTTGGTAGATATAAATTTTTTAATAAGTAATAAAGATTCATTTTTTTTTATAAATATAATTTATATTTAAATTTTTCTGTTAATATTATTATGACTGCGAACATAAAAACATAGTTATAACTCGATCATTCTAATAATTGAAGAAAGACAGTTATTTTAATTCATTTATTTTATTAATCTGAAAAGGACTGTAGTTATAAAAACATAATTCTTACATGTTTATATTACTATATAATAACATATTTACTAATTTTAAAATATTTTTAACTTAATATATTAATATATTGCATGTTTTGATAACTTGACCCACATAAGACCACAATTATAAAAAAATCTAACATGTCCAATCAAATTACCGTATAATATAAATATTTATCAGTCTTCAATATGTAAATTTTTTGACTGATTGATTATGATTAGAAAAACACAATAACATATTTGTTAATCATATGTTTATTATAAAAATATTATTTAAATTTCAAATGTTAAATTAAATCTAAACTATATTTAAAAAAGTTTAAAGTAATTTAATTTAATATCTAACTTTTTATACTATTTAATTGCAGTTTTTAAATATTTTAAATTTTAAATTAAATATAACTTATATTAAGAAAATCTTTAGTTATCTAATTTGATATCTTATTTTCGGAATTATATTTTTATATAAAAGAAAATATATTTTTAAAAATAATATCGCAACAAAATAGAATAATTTTAAAACAGATTTCAAATAATTGTTTTAAATATTAAAAATGTAATTATTAAAAATAATTTTGTTTTAATATAATAGATGGACACTCTTTATATTATTTTCGAATGGATTGGATAATTTACAAATGTCACCAAACATCAACATACTGTACTCTAATCATTATTGACGCGTGTCTTAGCATGTTTTACAATATTAATAAAATCATATCACGACAATTGCATAAAAACTTCTTCTCCATAATTGTACCCTTTTTTTTTTACCATGATTATATAATTTTCTTTTTAACATGGTCATGGACTTCTCTTTTAAGCTTTTAATTTGGGTTATAACTTAACTGAAACCTAATTGTTTGTTTGGGCTAATGGAGATATTATCCAACACTATGTTCTGACATGAAGAAGCTTCAAAGAACCATGGAACTCGCATTTTTTTTTTCTTTACTTGGGAAAGTTTTATTTTCGATTCTTAATTCTTATAAAAAAAACATTACAATAATACTACTTTTTTTATTTGATTTATTTGTTCTTCATTGACGGACCAAATCAAAGATAAAAGAGCAAGTGAAATCGAGACACGTGTCTCTTCTCGTTGACGTCTGACGTGTACACGGAGCATCTCCTTGCAACGCAAGCTTCCTTTCTCTGCAAGTTTCTTTTTTTTTTTCCCTTCCCTTCGAGAAGACCTTTCACATTAAGGAAAAAAATTAATAAATCAAGGAAATAAAAAAAGAGAGAAAAATGTGATGAAAAGTATTTGACATGTGCGTCTATAAAACAATCGTCTTCGCCTAACAATTTTAACTCATCCATCGCTTCTAAAACCCCTTTCTTGAATCTCTAGGTCATCGGAGATTTCGCCGGAGATACTTTTTTTTGGCAGATTGATTGATCGATTATCCAGCGGAGATGTTTCCTTCATCCGATTTCTCTTTCTCACCATCGACGCTGTTCTCAGCGTACGCATCCATAACCGGATTCTTGATGCTCTTTAGATCGATGCTCCACGATTTCGTTCCGGAGCAGCTCCGATCGTACTTCTCCGGCTTATTCGACCGGTTATTCACTCCGAAATCGAAGAATCTCACGGTGATTATCGACGAGAACTTTGGATTGAACAGGAACCAAGTCTTCGACGCGGCAGAGATGTACCTCCGGAACAAAATCGGCCCCGAGACGGAGCGTTTACGCGTCGGGAAAACCCCGAAGCAGAAGCATTTCACAATCTCGATCGAGAAAGGAGAAGAGATCTTCGATTCGTTCGAGAACTCCCAGGTGAAATGGAGCTATGTTCAGTCGGAGAACGAGAAAGGGGATAAAGTGAAAAGGTACTACGAGCTCACATTCGAGAAGAAGCTGAGAGATAAAGTCATGGGGTCTTATTTGAGCCACGTTGTTGCGGAATCAGAAGAGATCAAGAGGAATCTGAGAGTGGTGAAACTCTATAGCCAAGATGTGTACGCGAACGACGACGACGATGGATGTGCCGGTGGGAATTGGGGATGTATCAGTCTCGAGCATCCTTCGACGTTCGATACATTGGCGATGGATCCTGGAGCGAAGAAGAAGATCATCGATGATTTGGAGAGGTTTCTCAAGAGGAGAGAGTTTTACAAGAGAGTTGGTAAAGCCTGGAAAAGAGGCTACTTGTTGTATGGACCTCCAGGCACTGGTAAATCGAGCTTGATTGCTGCAATGGCTAATTATCTGAAGTTCGATGTGTTTGATCTTGAGCTTAGTAGTATTTATGACAATGGGAATTGAAGAGGATTTTGTTATCCACGACGAACCGTTCGATTTTGGTGATTGAGGATATTGATTGCAATGCTGAGGTGAGAGACAGGGAAGCTGAGGATAAAGAAGATGAAAAAATAAGAGGAAAGGTGAGATCTTTCGAAATCTGTGATTTTGGGAAGTTTGTGTTTTTGATATTGGGAGAGAATCTATATGGTGCTTATTGTGTGATGTTGTCTTGAGCAGGTGACATTATCAGGGATTCTAAATTTCATTGATGGGTTATGGTCGAGTTTTGGGGATGAGAGAATCATCGTGTTCACGACTAACCACAAGGAACGGCTTGATCCTGCATTGCTACGTCCTGGAAGAATGGATATGCATATCCACATGTCGTATTGTACAGGCTTAGGATTTAGGACATTGGTTTCTAATTACCTCGGTTTAGATGGCGTGAACCATCCTCTTTGTGAGGAAATCGAGAGGCTGATTGATTCTACAGAGGTTACGCCGGCTGAGTTAGCTGAAGAGTTGATGCAGGACGACGATACTGATGTTGTTCTCCGCGGAGTAGTTAGCTTTGTTGAGAAGAGGAAGGCAGAGAGAAGCAAGACCAAGGAGCAGGTTTCTATTTGTAAAGAAGTTGTGATTAAGGCACATGATGATGACGAAAAACAGAATAGTTCTACCAATGGTATGAAGAAGAAGAAGAAGAAAGCTGGTAAACGAAAAGGAAAAGCTCAAAACTTTAGTAAGTTATGAGTAAATTATCAATATAGAGAAATTTGTACAGTAGATCTATTGTGTTGTATTATGGCAAGTGTAAGCTTGTAATATATATTGAATCAACAACAAATAAAGCTTTTCTATGGGGGAATTGACATAACAATGTGTGAAAGAGAAAATCAATGGTTGGTCAAGAAGAAAAAAAAAATGTTGGAATGCTTTCTCCTGACACTCTTGAAATCGAGTATCCAAAAGAAATATTACGAGAGATTTTTGGAGTGTTTTCATCCTCGTTTTTTTTTTATCTCTCACCATCTTCTCATTTTCTCTTTGCAGAGTTAAATTATCCAATTTTTTCCAAGAAAACCAAACAAATGTGGTCTGACATGCTCCGATGTTGAAAGGAGTTTGGTGCTGACACAGTTATGGAGGAATTCATGGAGTTTCATGTATTTAGGACGGTGCATTGTCATTGGAAAACTATCTCTTTACACTTTTTTCTTGCTTTGTTACCTCTTAGGAATTTGAATTCGAAGAAATAGATGAAGTGTTGAAATAATACCCTCAAGGTCACCACAGCGTCGACAAGGAAGGAAGACCTTTGTACATTGAGAGGCTAGGTCTATTAGACTCTACAAAGTTGATGCAAGTTACAACAGAAAAGATATATGCAAGTATCCAAACACCTTTTGCTATCCCTTCTGGCTGTTCTGAATGAAATAAAATTTAAAGTAATTAAGCTCATTTATGAAGGTGAATGGCTCTTCTTCTGCTATCTACAAGAACTTTCTCAATAAAAATCTAGCTGATTCTCACCATTGACTTACAGAGGGTGAACAATGGTGATCAAAATGCTCAAAGAGATCTCAAGCAGAAAATGCTGCAGAGAAAACTATCTTTAAGGAAGACATAGTGCACTCCAAGGTCTTGCTTGTTTTGAGGTAATCTATATGCTGCGCCAATAATCTTTATTTTGACAAATAACAAACTTTTGAGTTGATTTTGAGTTGATTACAACACTCTAGACTGTTAGGCCAACAACAATTTGATCTTCTTTTTTTTTGCAAAGTCTTATGATATTCACCTTTATCTTATAAATATTTTTCAAAATTTGAAATCAGAGAGTTGGAAAAAAGGATTATGGGAAACAAAGATTATGCATTTAGTCAAAATTGCTATTTAAACAAAATTATGAGTAAAATGTTATGGAATAAATTTTTATTATATTGAGATTAATCGTAAGAATTCCAAATTATGTTATATATATTTTCAAAAATTTAATTTTTTAAAAAATAATCAGTTATAAATAGAAATAAATGCAAAATATGTTTGATAACTCGATTAGGTAACAACCAAATTTCATCTAACTTATATTTTTTTTATCTTTCAAATCTCAAATTATCGCATATAGAAGTGAAAAACTTTTGTGGAGGTGACACATCAGCATGACAAACTTGTTAATAACACATGAAATAAATTTTATTTTTAAAGTGTGCTTGTCAAATAATGATATAAGATATATGATTTTCCAGGGAAATGATTTGGTTATCAATAAGATATTATAACAAGATAAAACATACACCAAGTTAACAAAATCTATCCTTGTTACAAAAAAAACAGGTTAACAAAATATTTAATTAACTAATAACCCGTGCTTTGCGTGGAATGAGATAACAATTTTTTTTTTAATATCTAAGTTTAAAATAAAAATATAGACAATAAAATATTAAAAATCTGAAATAAATATATTATATTGGTACAATCTATATTGTTATATAATATATATATAAACAAAACATTTTGATAACAGTATAGAGATAAAATTGTAATATATAATGTTATATATAGTGTCTTTCATTATTAGAATAATTAAATTAATTCTAACAGTAATAAAAATAATATTATACTAGTGTTTGGTCCGCACCCTGTGTGGACTCAAGTTGTTATTTAATATGTTTTCATTAGTATTTTGTTGTTGTTTTCTTGTATAAAGTTTATACGTATGTTTCTGCTATGACATGATTATTAGTGTTATAATTTGATAATTATGTTTGCTTTCAAAATACATCTATAGCTTGTGAAGTTTCATACTTTGGTAGTTATACTCTTGTCTGCTAATGTTCAATAGCTGCAGAAAAAAAGTTAAAGTTCATATTGGTATAGTTGTTTTTCAGCCTTAACCTTAGTCTTTGATCCCAATTTCCTTGTAAAGATTATATGTTAAATTTTGTTTGTTCAAATAAATAGCATTCATTAGTAAGTGCCAACCAATTTCTATTAAACAAAGAAATATGTAAAAGAGTGCAACGAATGACTTTAATTAAGAAATCAATATAAAAACGACAAGTATCTCTAAGTAGAAATCGCTATAAAGAATGAAAACAAAAAATGATGTTCTTCTAGTTTTTGTAAACATGTCGATTAAGCACTCAATTTTAGCATAAACTTCCTTATAGACAATATTCATTATTTTCCTTAGTGATAATCCTTTCTTGTCAGTAATAAGTATTTTCAAACATTTTCTAGATGTTACTCTTTAAACTGCAACGTAGAGCTGACAGTGAGAGAATACAAGTTTGGGTAAATACAACCCAACTCTCTCAAACGTTTGACTTTGACTATTTTTATTGTCATTACAAAAGTAAGTGTTATGGGGAACTGTCTAAGACGCATACAGAAGGGAAAGCGTGCATATACCGGTGTTACAAACATCATTGGTATTAATACACACTCATCAACGTTATTGTCATAATTTCCTGTAATCATCCTAGCCTCGATAACATGATTTTCCAAATTAGTCATTATCAATCTTGTACAATTGTACAATTCACTCTTAGAGTCAATGTTTTGTAGTAACATTATCGGAGCTCCCACCATCGAGAATACTTCGTGATTAGGCATACCTGAAATCTTAATGTTATTCAAAAACCCTTGCATATATACGATGACGTCAGCATCACTTGTGTCTGAAGGTTCAATACTATCTGCACTTAGATATCTTTTTTCTTCACCTGAATATTAAACAATTTCAAACATTACATATAACAGAATATTAATTTTAGTATCATTTTTAATAATCATTCTCTATTAATTTGAAAGATGAATGTATAAACATTTAATGTGAATATTGCTCGTGACTAAGTCCATATTGTTGTTAAAATATGTCTCCATATTTTAAATTTATTGGCCGAATGAATGATATCAAAATTATCTTAAAATTTTGAAAAATACCTCGTAACTTTGATAGCATATATTGGTTTATGATATCCACATCCACATTCCTAGGATTTAATATAGCTATATCTGTAGCTCTATCTCTGAAGAACTGTGCATCCGTATTGGTGGCAAACCGATTCATCGTAAATCTCCCGAACAATCGATCGTACAAGATCGTCGCAATCAAAAATTAGCAAATCTTCTTGTATCTCAATTTCGACTTCTCCAATATAAGGCTTGTTTATTTTCTCATCACCAATATCCAATATCCACTTTGAGAATGCTTTAGGATCTTCAGCATCGTCATCAGTCAGACCTGCGTGTAATCTCATATTTCGTGTAAGTTGTAAAACTTTACACTTGCGCCAAAGCCCTGATGAATTTAAAGCGGCCATCACGGTTTGAGAGCTTGTTGCATCTGGTATTACTGGAAAAACCTGTCTAAAATCACTGCCAAATACAATCACCTTATCACCAAACGGTTCCTGATACTTTAATATATCACACATGCTTCTATGCAATGTCTCGAAGCAGAGTTTGCCCATCATGGGGGCCTCATCCCATATTATAACCCAAGTCTCTTTGATTAACTCTGCCAAATACGAACCAGACATGTCTGATCATTAACATTTATAAGAATGCCAAATCTAGAATGTACCATTCTACCACCTTGCAATAGTAGTGACACAATCCCACTAGACGCTATATTTAGAACTACTTCACCTTTTGATCTCAAAGCAGTTCCTATAATACTCCAAAGGAAAATTTTCCCAGTACCACCAAAACCGTAAACAAAAAAAGACTCTACCAGCATCGCGGTTCACTGCGTCTAATATCTCTGTGTAAATCCCAAGTTGTTCATCAGTTATCTTCGACATGAGCTCTATATGTTTTTCTTGCAGTTTGTTTCGATTATAACTCTTCTCGTCACATATTAGAGTATTTTTGTATTTGTCGATCTCGATGTCATCCGGACAAGACATCTTAAAACAATAGAACACGAACAGGGCTACCTGTTTTATCATTAAATAAATTTTGATCAAATCCAAGACTTTGAAATCATGTTAGGAGGAAAAAACGACTTACTTGGGTTTTCATTTATCTTATTTTGCTGGTGTAAATATCATCAGATAACATTTCCCAAGTTGCGTTACAGACATTTAGGATGATCCAATTCTATTCGATAGCAACATTATAACAAATCGTTTATGTAGAAACCGTCTAGATCCCCGATAACCATGGCTTCTTTAATTGCTCTGATATAGTCTTTGTCATCATCCAACAATCCTAATGCAAAGCAAAATTCTTGGAAAGTATGTAGCATAGAGCACACCGTTTACTGTTCTAGTATCTTCAAAACACGTAGGTCCTTTCACGAGGTTAAGTAAAACTTGTAGATAATATACTTCGCTTAATGTAAGCGGCACATATGTGACCTATAGTTTTTCGTGGCTCCCAAATTCTTACCTTGACATGCCAAGCAAACTTAGTTGGGAAATCAGCATAAGTGAGCTCCTTAGCTTCTGGATACATATTATTGCATTCCATTTATGCTAAGAATTTAGACCGGCTAACAAACATACGATTTAACACATCTTCAACAGGGTCATCTTCATTATACACGAGAAGTTGTTGATGAGGATGATGGAACGAAAGCTTCTCAACTGCTACCGTACGAAACTGAATAACAGATGCCAATATATGCCATGCTGCCTCACAAGCGGACACATATGTATATATTATATTGACTTTGAAAACCAAAAAAAAAGTTAATTGTTAGACTAAAGAATTTAACATCATAGAGGAATGGATTATAGCTTCATTATGGTTATCTTTTTCCATATTTATCATATCTTATACGATTGTTTTCCTTTTCACTTCTTTTAACAAATATTTACTAAAACTTTAAAAAGTTTGGGTTGTAATGAAAAATAACTTAAAACAATAGTTAAGAAAATTAAATTTTAACATGCAACTATAATGCTCTTTTGTTTCAATTTCACCAACTCCAGCTCGTACGTAGT